GTCAGCTAGTCCTGGGCCCTTGACCTCTGTGCCCCCTGCTTCACTCCAACCCTGCATCCAGCACATCCTCTTTGACCAGCCCTCCCTCTAGTGGAAACCCACTCCAGTATTCTTTTTTGAAGAATCCCATGGACAGAGGAGCCTGGCAGGCTACAGTCCCTGGAGTCACAAAGATTTGGACATGACTTAGCTACTAAAGTGAAGTTGCTCAGTCGTGTCCAACTTGTTGCAATCCCATGGACTGCAGCCTACCACGTTCCTCCATCCATGGGATTTTCCAGGCAAGAGTACTGGAGTGGGCTGAGATTTCCTTCTCCAGGAGATCTTGCCAACCCAAGGATTGAACCCAGATCTCCCACACTGTAGGCAGACGCTTTATCGTCTGAGCCACCAGCAAAGGCTAATTTCAGACAGGCTTCAGCAATACATGAAGTGTGAACTAGATGTTCAGGCTGGTTTTAGAAAAGGCAGAGGAAAAAGAGATCAAATTGCCAACATCTGATGGATCATCAAAAAAGCAAGAGAGCTCCAGAAAAACATCTACTTCTGCTTTATTGACTATGCCAAAGCTTTTGACTGTGTGGATCACAACAAACTCTGGAAAATTCTGAAAGAGATGGGAATACCAGACCACCTGACCTGCCACTTGAGAAACCTACATGCAGGTCAGGAAGCAACAGCTAGAACTAGACATGGAACAACAGGTTCCAAATAGGAAAAGGGGTACGTTGAGGCTGTAAATTGTCACCCTGCTTATTTAACTTACATGCAGAGTACATCATGTGAAACACTGGGCTGGAAGAAGCACAAGCTGGAATCAAGATTGCCAGGAGAAATATCAATAACCTCAGAAAAGCACGTGACACCACTCTTATGGCAGAAAGTCAAGAAGAACTAAAAAGCCTCCTGATGAAAGTGAAGGAGGAGAGTGAAAAAGTTGGCTTAAAGCTCAACATTCAGAAAACTAAGATCATGGCATCTGGTCCCATCACTTCATGGGAAATAGATGGGGAAACAGTGGAAACAGTGTCAGACTTAATTTTGGGGGGCTCCAAAATGACTGCAGATGGTGATTGCAGCCATGAAATTAAAAGACGTGTACTCCTTGGAAGGAAAGTAATGACCAACCTAGATAGCATATTAAAAAGCAGAGACATTGCTTTGCCAAAAGGTCCGTCTAGTCGAGGCTATGGTTTTTCCAGTGGTCATGTATGGATGTGAAAGTTGGACTATAAAGAAAGCTGAGTACCAAAGAATTGATGCTTTTGAACTGTAGTGTTGGAGAAGACTCTTGAGAGTCCCTTGGACAGCAACGAGATCCAACAAGTCCATCCTAAAGGAGATCAGTCCTGGGTGTTCATTGGAAGGACTGATGCTGAAGCTGAAACTCCAATTCTTTGGCCACCTGATGCGAAGAACTGACTCGCTGGAAAAGACCCTGATGCTGGGAGGGATTGGGGGCAAGAGGAGAAGGGGACGACAGAGAATGAGATGGTTGGATGGCATCACCGACTCAATGGACATGAGTTTGCTTAAACTCCGGGAGTCAGTGATGGATAGGGAGGCCTGGAGTGCTGCTAGTCATGGGGTCGCAAAGAATTGGACATGAGTGAGCGACGGAACTGAACTGAATTGAAATAGCTACTAAAGCAATAACAAATGCATCGCAGGTCAACAGAGCAAGACCCAAAGTCACCTAGGGCCAAGACGTTTTAATTAAGATTCCAGCTTACCATCTGTCCACACTGCCTCAGCCTCTGCATGCTGCCTCTCACACCAGGGAGCCCATGACCCACAGTAGTCCATCTCTACTTCACTGAATCCAGGTGGTCAGAAAACAAGTGTCCCCCATGTAGTGCCAACACTCATCCCCACAAAATTCACTCATTGTTCCTCAGTCTGCCTTCTGCAGACATGTTAACCAGTATGGGACAGACCCCCGAAGGCACTGGTCACATGCCCCTTCTTCCACAGCCCACATTTGCTCTACCTTCCACTCTCCTCTGGGCTTTTTCTTTCAAAGATTATTCAAGTGACATGATTGCAGTTCCATCCCAAAGACCATGACTGTGCGTCTGCAGTGTGCAGCTAACTCTGGTTCTCTGCGTGGTGGATACAGAGATGGGTGGTGCTGTTTAGTCGTGTCTGATTCTGTGACCCCAGGCTCCTCCGTCCATGGGATTCCCCAGGCAAGAATACTGGTGTGGGTTACCATTTTCTTCTCCAGGGGATCTCCCAACCAAGGGATCGAAGCTGCATCTCTTCTGTCTCCTGCATTAGCAGACAGGTTCTTTACCACTTGCACCACCTTGGAAGCCCACACTCTCTTGTAGCATGGTGTATTTCAGAAAGGTCACAGGTCAATAACTTTAGGGACACCAGACCCAGTGGCTCAGTTGCCTGATACCAGCTGTAGTTGTTTTGAACCTCTGATGAAGAAAAAAAAAAATAAAAAGGATGACCTTCTAGAGGATGTAAAACTTCTTTCTATTCCCATGGGAGGGGCACAGCTCTCGAGGTGCTAGCCTGCTGTTTCTCTTTTGCCTGGAAAAAATAATTTACACTTTTTTATTGCTTCCAAACTCTGTCTCAGTATTTCTGTTTGGCATCTGTGGACCAGGAGCCAAGATTTTGGGAAAATAACTGGTGTGAACAGCTTGTGTTCCCAAAGCCACCTAGGGAAGGATTAAAGTGGGCTGGGGTCAGCAGAAATCCTAGCTAGTGTGACCCCAGCTCCAATTGGAAAACCCACATTTTTGAAACTTCTATGTGTAACACAAAGAAGAAAACAAACCAGCAAAGGTGTGGACAAAATTAAAGAACAAGTGGAGAAGAAGAGGCACGTGGATAGAAGGGTATTTTCAGTGATAACAGTTCAGTTCAGTCACCCAGTTGTGTCCAACACTTTGTGACCCCATGGACTGCAGCACACCAAGCCTCCCTGTCCATCACCAACTCCTGGAATTCACCCAAACCCATGTCCATTGAGTCGGTGATGCCATCCAACCATCTCATCATCTGTCATCCCCTTCTCCTCCTGCCTTCAATTTTTCCCAGCATCAGGGTCTTGTCCAATAAGTCAGCTCTTTACATTAGGTGGCCAGAGTATCGGAGCTTCAGCTTCAGCTTCGGCATCAGTCCTTCCAATGAAGATTCAAGGTTGATTTCCTTTAGGATTGACTGGTTTGATCTGTAATGCATAGAAATTCATGATTTTATTGCTCAAACTGCTGATCAGGGATCTCTCTCAGCTAAAAATGACAAGGACAGTCTTTGAGCCCCACTTTTGGTTCAGGGAAACAGGGTCCTTCACTTGTCTTTGAAATTCTTTGTATTCTTCTCATTCTGCCAGTGGGACCACACTGCCCCATCCTGGAAGCTGTCCAGTCTTTGGAGAAGAGGACTGTTCTTCTCAGGACCCCTCTGTCCACCCGTCTCCTCCAACTGCCCTGACCACACCTCCCCAACCCAGGCTCCTATGCCTATGTCCTCAGGGGACTTGGCTGTGAATCGCCACCTCCCCCCAAATGTTCCTTTCCTGAAAACTGCCACCATACCTCACCACACATGTGGGTGACAGAAAAGCTGAGTAACAAAGTAATGCGGTTTTTCAATCACCGGGACCTTTGCACTCCTCCAAGAGCGGTTTCACAGAGTCCAGGGAGGCAGTTGGATCTGAGTGTTCCAAGGGTCTGGGACCCAACGGTGATGATTCCAGAGAAACCCACCCCCCACCCTGCCAGGGGATCTGCTCCCCATTGAGTCACGACTGAGGACCCCCAAGGGCTCCTGCTTTGTCAACCCATCCTGCCGTCCTCCACACTACTGTTGACGTGTATCGGGCAGAGAACAGAGCTTTTTCTTGTGGTGTGTTTTTGTTCTGTCCAGGAGAGAACTCGGAGAAAAGGTCAGTATATAGGTCCCAGGCTTACTCCTTAAAGGACTCCCATGAGGAAGAGAGCACAGGATAGTGAAAGACCCTGGGATGGAGCTTGAGAAACTTGGGACGGGAGGAGAAAGGATCGGGGAGGTCTTAGTTCTCCATGTTGACATCTGTGTCGGTGTTTGTCAGCAATTCAGAAGCTGCTGGTGTGAAGGGAGCCCCTTGAGAGGTGTCATGAGGGCAGCTCAGGGGGATTCCTCACTGATCATTAGTTTTCTGTGTCCAGAGAAAGGGGAGGAAAGGCCCTTCCTAAGCAGGGGTAGTGATCTATCAGTGTGTGACAGATTACCTAAATGTAATGGCCTAAAATAACACCCATTTATTATCTCACAGTTTCTGTAGTCAGGAGTCCATGGCTCAGTGGGATCGTTTGCTTGGGGTCTCACAGGCTGCCCTCAAGAGGTCACCTGGGCTGCAACCTTTCTGCAGCCCAGTCCTCTTCCAAGCTCATGTGGATGTTGACAGAATCCGGTTCCTTTTGGTTGTAGGACTGAGGCCCTCGGTTCCTCGTGACACATGGAGTTAACATCACTGCTGTTTACTTTTCAAGTATAGCATGAGAATTCCCAGTCTCCTGAGATGCAGATGTGTGAGATATAATGTAATCATGGCAGTAAGACCATCATGGGAGGGTCCCCTCACCTTTGCCATATGCGATTGGCTAGTGTCTGTGTGTGCACGCGTGCGTGTGTGTGTGTGCGTGTGCGCTTGTATATTCAATCATGTCTCACTCTTTGCAACCCTTGGAACTGTAGCCTGCTAGGCTCCTTTGCCCATAGGCTTTTTCAGGCAAGAACACTGGAGTGGACTGCCATTTCCTCCTCCAGGGGATCTTCCTGAGCCAGGGATCGAATGCGAGTCTCCTGCATCTCTTGCCTTGCTGGCAGATTCTTGACTCACTGAGCCATCGTTAGAATATGGGTCTCACCAAGTTACAAGTTCCTCCCACACTCTAGGGAAGGGGGTTATGCAGGGTGGGACTCACTACTGGTCGTCCTAGAATGGGTGACATGCCAAGTATTTTATCAATCTCACCTCCAAAGAGCTTGAAGAAGAGATGGCAGAAACAGCAACAGAGTCATATGAGGACCCATCAGAGGAAAGAGAGGACCTGGGGCCTCTGGAACCAGAGGACAGTGGTGAGAAAACCAACCCCCTCCCTGCATTCCTGCCTCATTTTGGCTACCTCCTCGAGGGTAAGCCCCAACCAAGGTCTCAGTTTTCCCATCTGTACAGTGGGCAGGAAGGTCCCAACCATGCCCCAGGTGTGGCTAGGGCTGGGCTGGTGTCAGGGAGAGACCGGGGCAACAGGGGCACCCCCTGTACCAGTCATCTTGCCATCACATCCGCCACATTTGTCTCAGGTACCTTCCAACAAGTCACAAATCTCCTCAACATCATGGAGAGCGAGTCAACCGAAACGGATGCTGCAGGAGCAGGTTTTGACATGAGGAAGAGGCTGGCCTCGCTGATCATCACAGAGAAGGCTACCACTAAGCCTTCCGTGGTGATGAATGCTCTCATCCGCTGCCTGCAGGTGCCGGAGGTAGGGCCTCCTCCCCCTAGGCGCTTCTCTGAGCTTGGCCACCTGCTTGCATGTCCATCCACCGCCCAGCACACATTTACTGGGTGCTGTGAGGGCAGGCCTAGGTGATGGGGCCCCTGAGGACCAACTGGGCCCTGGGGTGCTCACAATTTTTCAAAGCTTCTCTGTATTCTGATTCGGTGGGTTTGGGAGTCATCCTCTTAGGGCAGGTGAGCCGAGCAACAAAGGTATTGAGTAGAAGTGAAGCGGGTAGGTGTGGGGGAGAAGAGACAGGGCAGATGCAGAGTGCGGGGGCACCTGCCAGTGGGGAGGTTGTTTCCTGGGGCAGAGGGTGTTGATAGGAGTGATGGAGAACGTGGCCAAGATCATGCTGGGCCTTGCACAACAGGACCAGAGCATCAGCATCCTCTGAGTGCTTGTTACAGCTCAGATTTCTGGGGCCCGTCATGAGAGCTTCTGATTCAGGGGACGCGTGGGGTGGAACCCAAGATTCTGCATTTTTAGCAAGTTCCCAAGTGATGTGTCTGCTGGTCTGCAGAGCATGCTTAGAGAGATGCTGGGTTTTAGAGTATCCTTAAGTTTTGAGGGTGGGAAGCAAAGGAGTTGTTCCCTGTAGGAGTTCTCTGTGTATGTGTGTATTTCAGCCCCGTCATGTCACTGTCAGGCCGGAAGGTTCCCCGACCAGGGACCGAACCTGGGCCTCTGCAGTGAAAGTGCTAAACCCTAACCACTAGGTAACCAGGGAACTCCTCTTAGGAGTTCTTTCCTCCTCCTCCCTTTTTTTTTTTTGTTGGCCACTCTGAGCAGCATGTGGATCTTAGTTCCCCAGCCAGGGATTGAACCTGGATCCTCCCACTGGAGGCTCAGAGTCTTAATCGCTGCACTGCCAGGGAAGCCCCTAGGAGTTCTCAGTAGCAAGCTTTGTTTCACAGAAAGCCACGTGGCAGCCATGAGAAAGGAGGGTCAGGGTCCAGGAGCGCAGGAAAGAGGTTTGCAAAGCAGATCTTAAAATGCAGGTTTTATGATGACTCAGGCACAGGAGGCTCCGGTTTGATTCCTGGCTCGGGAAGGTCCCCTGGAGAAGGAAACGGCTACCCACTCCAGTATTCTAGCCTGGAGAATTCCATGGACAGAGGAGGCTGGCGGGCCACAGTCCATGGGGTCACAAAGAGTCAGACAGGACTGAGCGACTTGCACTTTCACTTTCATAGTGAGCCCAACAGCTCAGGAGAGGATCGCCTTGAAAAACTAGTCTCTCACTCACAGCTCCCCAGAGGCAGGGGCCTGCCATGCCATGCCATCCCACAGGAAAGCACCAGGTTGGGCGACAGGCAGAGGGAGCAAGGGGGAAATGTGTGCAGGAGTGTGGATTCTCCAGGGAGGACTGGCGAGGCAGGTGGAGCAGACATTCGATTAGCTGGTCAGCTGCGGGGTGTGGGAGTGCCTGCGTGGTCTGGTCCCTGGCCCCAGGGTGATCAGAGCAGGTGTATACTGGTCCAGGGCTTCCCACGCGGCTCAGCTGTAAAGAATCCGCCTGCCAGTGCAGGAGACATAGGTTCAGTCCCTGCGTGGAAAAGATCCTGGAGGAGCAAAGGGCCACCTGCTGCTGCTGCTGCTAAGTCGCTTCAGTCGTGTCCGACTGTGCGACCCCATAGACGGCAGCCCACCAGGCTCCCCTGTCCCTGGGATTCTCCAGGCAAGAACACTGGAGTGGGTTGCTATATCCTTCTCCAATGCATGCAAGTGAAAAGTGACAGTGAAGTTGCTCAGTCAAGTCTGACTCTTAGCAACCCCATGGACTGCAGCCTACCAGGCTCCTCCACCCATGGGATTTTCCAGGCAAGAGAACTGGTGTGGGTTGCCATTCCCTTCTCCAAAAGGGCCACATACTCTGGTATTTCTGCCTGGAGAATCCCATGGACAGAGGAGCCTGGTAGACTACAGTCCATGGGATTGCAGAGTCATACACGACTGCACGACTAAACAGCGGCAGCATAGAGGCCCAGAGCGTGAGAGCCTGATGGAGGAGCTGCTTGGGCATGGGCTCTGGACTGGTTTAACAAGCTTGCTGGTGGGGGAGCTGTTTGCTGTCTCCAGGAACTGACTAACCCCCAGCAGTCTTTCGAGTCCACAAGACCCCAAGAAATCAAAGCATCAGGAAATTTAGAAAGTTACAAAAACTGTGATTAATACCCAGGCCATGATAACTGATCAGTGGAAATTAACAGGGGATAAACAAGGAGGCACGCTGTCAGATTTAATCTGCGTCGACATTTTCAGTTATTCATTAATTAGTGAAGGAACCAGCAAGATGTTACATGTCTGCTCATTTACTTCAGTCTTGTCCAATACATTGCAACCCCATGGACTGGAGCCTATGAGGCTCCTCTGGCCACGGAATTCTCCAGGCAAGGGTACCAGAGTGGGTTGCCGTGGCCTCTTCCAGGGGATCTCCTGACCCAGGGATTAAACTCGCGTCTCCCGTGTCTCAGGCATTGCCTGCTGGATTCTTTACCGCCAGCGCCACCGGGGGAAGCTCCGAAGATGTCAAATCTGTTAAAATGAGAATTTCACTTCTAGAGACTTATATTCTTTACCAGCCAAAATTCCTTTGCCTTGTCACAGACAGGAATCATTTTCATGATCAGTTTCCTACAACTAAGCTTCTGTCTCCGTGGAGACATAGACTAGACCATCACAGTCAATCAAAGACACACACTCCCACAGTCCGGATCATCCTCCAGAGGCCGTGGGACATCACCAAGCCTGCCTCTGGAGGCCACTCAGTGCTTGTTTTATGACACTTTCAAAGTCTTGGACAATTTTTCTCTTGTGACCATAAATATTCTCCAAGACTAATTTTGACCACAGAAAAGACTGGGCTTATAAATTGCCTGGCTGTTTACATATCTGCAGCCACAGTGTTAGTTGCACATTGAGGCTTCCTGAGTTTGCTTTGAAAACCAAGAGCATGAATTTTCAACAGGGTGAGACTCCACAACAGGTAACATTGGTTCTTGCACAGTGGGGTGGGGATATGTGTGTGTGAAGGAAATTTTAGTTTTTGATATACAAAGCACAGAAATGGACAATCAGATATATAATATCTTTGTGGTATTACATTTTCATGGTGAGGAGTGATTAGGAAAATAATGCTTACAGAGGTTCCCTAGGGGACAATTAAAAAAAAAAAAAGAGGTTGAGAAAGCTAGGACCATCAATAGTGAGCAGCGAAGGCCACACGTTTCTCTTCTGTCCAGGGGTTTTCATGAGGAGTCTCTCACCGGAGTTACAAGCCTCTGAAAAGTGAAAGTGAAAGTTGCTCGGTTACGTCCAACTCTTTGCACCCCAATGGACTGTAGCCTGCCAGGCTTCTCTGTCCATGGAATTCTCCAGGCCAGAATACTGGAGTGGGTAGCCATTCCGTTCTCCAGGGGATCTTCCCCACCCAGGAAATGAACCAGGTCTACCTACATTGCAGGTGGATTCTTTACCAGCTGAGCTATAAGCCTCTATTGAGTTCAGTTCAGTCACTCAGTCGTGTCCAACTCTTTGTGACCCCATGGACTGCAGCACACCAGGCCTCCCTGGCCATCACCAACTCCTAGAGTTTACCCAAACTCATGTCCATCAAGTCGGTGATGCCATCCAACCATCTCATCCTCTGTCGTCCCCTTCTCCTCCCACCTTCCCTGGTGGCTCAGATGGTAAAGTCTCTGCCTGCAACACGGGAGATCCCGGTTTCATTCCTGGGTCAGGAAGCGCCTCTGGAGAAGGAAACGGCAACCCACTCCAGTATTCTTGCCCGCAAAATTCCCTGGACAGAGGAGCCTGGCAGGCTAAAGTCCATGGGGTCACAAAAAAATCGGACACGACTGAGCGACTGAAAATCAGCATTACTTTCTGTACCAAGAGTGTATACTGGATAAAAGTATACATTTCGCTGACTTCCTCTCCTCATGAGGTCCCCAAATTTGCTACAGCCCTGACTGTTGAGAAGTGACCTCTTTACCGGCCGAGGCAGGGAGCCATCTTCCCAGAGGGCTTTGCAGGTGAGGCTCCGTGGAGAGAGGAGTCCACCTTCTTTCTTTCCTGGGGGTGTATCATCCCTGGTTGAATGAGTGTCATTGTCAAATCTGAGTCTCCAGGAGTGGTCAGGTTGCAAAACCTATTGGTCCAATCCTATCCTCATTCATAGAGAAAGAAGTGGCAACCCACTCCAGTACTCTTGCCTAGAAAGTCCCATGGAAGGAGGAGCCTGGTGCAGGCTACTGTCCATGGGGTCGCAAAGAGTCGGACACGACTGAGCGACTCTTCTTCTATCCTCATTCAGGTCACTTAAAATGGTGACCAGAGCTATGCGGGAAGCAAAATAGAGCATGTTGTCTTAAACTCTGCAAGAGGGTCAGCGCCAAGTCTGTGGAGGACCCTGTGTGCTGACCATCTGACCTCCGCCTTGCTGAGTAGGGAGGACAGATGCAGGCCCCGGGGGCAGGGCCGGCTGGATGAGTCTGATGGGAGAGGGGAGGAGGGTGTGCGACAGGCTGGAGCTGCGGGCAGAGCTGGGGCAGTTTGAGGATGGTGGGTTCATCAACCAGCTGGAGTGTTAATCATACGACCCCCGGCAGGATCCAGGGGAACTCTCAGGATGAATGGCGTCGGGGAGAGAAGACACATAAGACTGGCCTTGATAGGGCCAAGTCTGCGAGGGAGGGAGAGAGAGAGAGAGAGAGAGAGAGAGAGAGAGAGAGAGACCAGGCCAGGATATGCAGCAGAGTCTGGCAGTTGCTTTATTTTTCACCGTAGCCTTTATACCCAAAGCTGGTACAGGGGCAGATAAGCACACAGACTTAGTCTAACGTTACATCAGCGTGTCCTGCACGAAGCCAGGTGTGTGCTGTATATTTTGTTTATGAGCGTCTTTCCCGTGGATTTTTGTGCATTAGCTCCTGGCCTTGAGCTCAGCAGGAAACAGAAGAGTGGTGCTCTCATGGTACAGCAAGTCACAGCATAATAGAAACACAATCCTGTTAACATAAAAGTCAGTCCTTTTGGAGAAATTCTCAGCTAAATGTATCTAAAGAGTTTAACACACAAAGACTCTGTGGCTCTGGTGAGGCAGCCCCTGTTTAGCACTCTTGGTTAAAATTAACAATTACTTTATTGTTTTTACACTAGGGCTAAACTCTTATTTTTCAGATCTCCAACTATATTAACAATAGTTTCCACTGCACAGTTCTCAGCACATTAACATCAATCAAACGTTGATCCAATAACCACTTTTAAATCAATATTTTTTGTATTTTCTAATAGGGCTTCCTCACCCCCAAAGGCTCTGTGCCTATTAGGGCCTTTTTTATGGTTAATCTCTATGTATAATATCTTTTGGCTTTCAGGCCTGTTGACAATTTATGGTTTGCACCTGGTGCAACTTTAAGCAACTTCAGTAGCCGACCCTGTCTTTTTTGTCGTTAATCTATTTTCTTTCTATCAGGTGTCATCTCCATGGGAACTAGATAGGACTACATTTTTCACAGAACAGAAATGCAAAGGATTGCAAAAACAGCAGATATGGCACAAAACAGGCTCTTAGTCTAAAAGTTAATTACCTGCAAGAAGTCGCCAGCTAATCTCTATCTAAACTCTATTTTATTAGGCACATTTGTGGCTATAATATTTGTGGGGCTTTTCTCACCCTGCAGAGGGGCCTATGCCTAATAGTTTCTTTTGTTAGCATATTGTGCTTAGGATGTTTAGAACAATCATGAGCATTTTGTGCAATGAGTGCACACATCTATCAAACAAGCCAGAATGCCAGCAAAAGGGTTTGAATTGAAGCATTTCCTTCATCCCTGGCCCCTTCATAGGGTACCAGCATCCAGAAGATTTATTAATTAGCTTTTAAGTTGGTCTTTATTCAGTGAAAGAGGAGCAGGAGAGCTCTCGGCAGGAAACACAAGAATCTGCAGCAGGGCAAACAAGAACAACAGAAAAGGGGGGAGGATACAGGGTAGGGCAGAGGCCGAGGCCAACCTGGAGGGTCCCTTATCCTAGACGGCCTTGCCTGTCAGGTATTTTCCTCATGACCTTGTCATGGATGGGATCCTGGACGGCCTTGCCTGCCCTTTCCTTCATGACCTAGTCACGGGCGGGACCTCCCATAATGGCTCCCGACAGCATCCAATTTCAATGTATGGATTCCCCTGTCACGCAATCCCTTGACACCAGCTGGGGGTGGGGTGGGGGGAGGGTCCTACAATTGAACTCAATTCTGACACTGTCTGCCTGGAGATAGTGTCAGATTCCATGGGTTAAGGGCTCAGTCCCATTAAGGTGGCACTAGTGGGAAAGAACCTGCCTGCCAATGCAGGAGACATAAGAGACACGGGTTCGATTCCTGGGTTGGGAAGATCCCCTGGAGGAGGGCACGGCAACCCACCCCAGTATGCTTGCCTGGAGAATGCCATGGACAGAGGAGCCTGGCAGGCTATATAGTCTATAGCGTCACAAAATGTCAGACACGACTGAAGTGACCCAGCACACAGACGTGCACCGGTAAGATGACCCCAGCCTGGCCCTTGCTTCAGACGCCAGTGGAAAGTGTGGCCAATTGGGTATAGACCGGGGGTTCCCATGACCCCCTCCTCGAGTTTAATCAATTTGCTAGAGGGGCTCACAAAATCCAGAGAAACCTTTTACTTGCTAGATGACCAGTTCATTCTAACTCAGGACCAGCCAGATGGAAGTGATGCATAGGGTGAGGGTATGGGAAAGGGTGTGACGTTTCCATGCCCTCTCTGGGCCTCCCATTGCCCCTAAATCTCCATGTGTTCAGCAGCCTGAAGCTCTCTGAACCCTGTCCTTTGGATTTTTATGGGGGCTTCATTATCTAGGCATAGTTGATTAAATCACTAGCCATTGGCGATTGATTCAACTTCCAGCCCCACTCTCCTCCTTGGAGGTCGAGTGGGTGGGACTGAAAGTTCCAGTCCTCTCATCAGAAGATGGGCTCTCCTGCCGACCATTCCCTATCCTTCAAGTGAAAGGGAGAGTCACTCAGTCTTGTCTGCCTCTTTGCAACCCCATGGACTACACAGTCCACGGACTTCTCCAGGCCAGAATACTGGAGTGGGTAGCCATTCGCTTCTCCAGGGGATCTTTCCCCAGCCCAGGGATCGAGCCCAGGTCTCCCACACCCACACGGCAGGCAGATTCTTTACCTGTTGAGCCACCGGGAAAGCCCTCCCCATCCTTAGGTGTGGACCAAAAATCATCTCATTAATACAACAACAAAAGACATCTTTTTCACTCTCATTACTTAGGACATTCCAAGGATTTCAGGCTTGTGCCTTGGGTGAAGACCAAACACACGTCTTATTACAAATCACAGTCTCCTAGGGATTAGGGGGAGGGCCAGCAGGAGGGAGACTGCGGTGGATCTGTGCGCTCCCAGGCCCCACTGCCTGTCCCGACCTCCCCACCCACCATACTTGTTCTCCAGATTTCCACTCAGCGCAAAGTCAACATCTACAACATCCTCCAGGAGGTCACCCAGCAGGAGGGCGAGCTGGAGGAGCGCTGCGTCCAGAGGCTGGTGGCCATCGCCTCCAGGGAGATGACGGGCATGCTGGAGGTAGCGGGGGTCCTGCCCTGCCCACCTGCCACCGCCCCAGGGGCTGGGCTCTGGGGGGCCGGTGGGATGCCCGAGGCCTCTGTCCGGTGAGCTCACGGGGACAACAGTAGGCTGAGGGGGCCCAGGAGAGCCCAGCGGAGCCGGAGCAGGCGAGGAGCAGGCACTGCTGGGGCGGCCACGTGTCCTCCTCCCGTGCCCTGCAGATGGAGGGCTACGTGAGGGCAGAGGTGGCCAGCGACACCCTGGTGGCCCTGTCCCGAAACCACTTCAGCTTGGTCATGTACGAGCTGCAGCACCATCTCAAACCCCTCAACCTCACGGAAGAATATGTCATCGTCACCCTGGCCAAGCTGGCCAACGGCAACGGTAGGGCTCGAGGGGACTGGGCCCCAGCGTCTGCCCGCCGGGCCAGCCCTCCGCCTCTGCCCTGGTGCCCGCGCCCGCCGGCTCCCGTGTCTCCCGCTTCCGGCCTTCCTCAGGCCTTCCTCCGTCTCACTTCCGGTGTCTCTCCGGCCCTCTCGGCTGCTGAGCTCCCCTCCCTGTGCCCCATCCTGCGTCTTTTCTCCTGCCGGCCCTTCTCTCGCACGCCTGTCTTTCCTGCTCCCTCTCTGGCCCCGGTCTCTCGCTCGCTCCCTCCCTCCTTCCCTTCTGAGTCCGCTCCACGCTCCGCGCTCCACGCGGGCCTTGCGGCGGGCAGTGGCCGCGGGTCAGGAGCCCCTGGGAACCGGTACACGAGAAAACGGAGTGTCCCCATGGAGAGGGCGCGCGGCTGTCCCCTGCGTCCCCGCCGCCTCACCCCCGGTCTCTGGTCGTCAGGCTAGAGTGCTTATGAGGCAACAAGGGGGTGGCGGCCTGGGAGGGCGGCCCACGCCCCGCCTCCTCACTCTGCTCCCTGCGGCCCAGGAAGAGCAGGGCTCTTCCCTCTGTTCCTCTGTCCTCCGCTCCTCCTCCCTGTCTCCCGGTCTCCCGGTCTCCCCTCTTCTCCCCTCCCCCACCCCCTGCCCCCTCCCAACCCCTGTCCCCCTCCCCCCATCCCCCGTCCCCTCTCCCCTTGCCCCCTCCCCCACTCCTCCCCACCCCCTGTCCCCCTCCCCCGTCCCTTCCCCACCCCCTGTCCCTCCCCTTCCCCCCTCCCCCATTCCTTTCCTCCCTCCTCCCTTCCCCCTTCCCCCCTTCCCCCCTCCCCTCCGCTTCCCCCGTCTCCCCTCCCCTGCCCTGTCTCCTCTCGTGTCACACCATGTCCCCTTCCCTCGTCTCCCCTCCCCTCATCTCCTTCCCTGTCCTGGTAGACAGAGGGGAGATGAGAGGAGATGGAGATGAGGAAAGGAGCGAAGGGGAGAGGGGAGGGGGTGGGGGGAGGGGAAGGGATGGGGGAGGAAAGGGAAGGGGAGAGGAGGGGAGAAGAAGGCGGGGAGGGGGGGAGACGGGGGAGGGGGATGGAGACTGGGGGAGGTCTACGCTCCCCTCCCCCATCTCCTTTCCCCTCCCCCGTCTCCCCTCCCCTTCCCTCTCCCCTCTCCCTCCCCTCTTCCCCCCACCCCAGTCTCCCCTCCCCTCTCCTCTCCCCCTGTCTCCCTTTCCCTCTCCCAGGAGGGCAGGGTCGATGGGGAGAGAGGAGGGGAGATGGGAGGAGGGGAGGGGAGATGGGGGGGTGGAAGGGGGGAGGGGAGACAGGAGGGGGGGGACAGGGAGGGGAGATGGGGAGCCAGGAGGGGAGATGGGGAGAGAGTTGGAGACGGGGCGGTGAGGTCTCCTCTCCCCTCCCACCCGTTTCCATCCCCTCCCCCATCCCCCCCCTCTCTGCCCAGGTCTTCCTCCCCTATCCCCGTCTCCCCTCCCCTCTTCCCCCACCCGTCTCCCCTCCCCTCCCCTGTCTCCCCTCCCCCGTCTCCTCTCCCCTCCCTATCTCCCCTGCCCTCTCCCCCAGTCTCCTTTTCACTCTCCTAAGATGGGGAGAGGAGACATAGGGGAGGGGAGGGGAGACAAGGGGAAGGGGAGGGGAGATGGGGGAATGGTGGGAGACCGGTCTCCCCACCCCTCCCCCTCCCGCCCATCTCCCCTTCCCTCCTCTCCTGTTCCCTCATCTCCTTCCTCCTTCGAGTCCTGGTAGACACAGGGGAGAGGAGATGGAGGTGGGGATAGGGGAGGGGAGGGGAGGGGAGGCGGGGGGAGGGGAGGGGAGGGGAGGCGGGGAGGCGGGAGGGGAGGTGGGAAGAGGGGAGCTGGGGAGAGGGGAGGTGGGGAGAGGGGAGGGGAGGTAGGAAGAGGGCAGGGAAGGCGGGGAGGGTGAGAAGGGTAGACATCTCCCCGTCTCCCCTTCTTTGCCCTCCCTCCCCTCCCCTCCCCCCTTTCCCCCTCCCTCCTTTCCCCCTCCCCCCTTCCCCCTCCTCCCTTTCCCCCCTCCCCCTTTCCCCTTCCCCCTTCCATCCTCCCTTACCCTCCCCCTCCTCCCCTCCCCTCCCCCTCCTCCCCTCCCCCATCTCCCCTCCCCTGCACCCCGCGTCACCCCCTCATCTCCCCTCCCCTTCTCCCCTCCAATCCCCTCCCCCATCTCCCCTCCCCTGCACCCCCGCGTCACCCCCTCATCTCCCCTCCCCTTCACCTGCTCCCAGCTCACACTTCTTACCTCCCCTGCCTCCTACCGTCTCCTGTGGCCCAGCCCATGCAAAAGGGGTTCCCTGGTCCTGTTCTGGGCACTGGAGGTGTGGGCGTTGGTTTTGCCATCTCTTATGACCCTCCTTCTCCAATTCCCTGAGACCTCTGCCCACATCTCGCAGTGTTTGAGTTCATGCCATACATGGGCATCACCCTGGCCACCATGTTCACTATGCTGAGGCTCGCCAATGAAGCCAAGATGCGCCAGGTGATCTGTGGTGGTGAGTGTCCCGCCTGGGCCTGTAGGTCTGACCTGATCAGGGTGCTGAGGAGGAGCTGGGTGAACAGGTAGAGACAAAAAGGGCAGTGGGGATCCCAGGAGAGGGAGACCAGGGAGATGGTCCCAGCTCGGGCTTGAGTTGGGTCATTTATATCTGATCCCCTTGCCCCAGGTTTTGATTATGTCATGATTTTGTGGGCCCAAGTCCCCAATACCTGAGAAAAGTAGGACAGAACGTGTTGGCCACTCTTTGCTTTGGAGTCCCCAGGATCTGAGTTAGAAAGTCTTCTTCGAGGTCTCACCCTTGACCTTGCAACATGAACCTCAAGGCCGGGGGCCCAGTCACACGTGTGTGCTCCACCCCTCGGGGGAGTCTTTCACCCTCAGACAGGGAGGGGCTTCATGCAAGACCAAACTTAAAGAGCTGAGAGGGGGGTTGGAAAGGCAGATGGCGAGGGCTGCAGGAGACTTTTCTAGCAGCATCTCTGGCCATCTCAGTAACCTGCTGGTTATGGAAGTGTGAGGGCTCCTCCTCAGAAGGCGCCCCGGAAGGCTCTGTTGTGCGACCTGGCCCTCGGGGCTCACTGCACGTGCCCCGGGGCAGCCATGGAGACCTTCTGCGAGACGGTGCAGTTTTACCTGAGGCACCTGGAGGACAGCGTGTACCCCGTGATGACTGAGGACCAGTTTGCACTGAAGCTGTTCCCCATGTATCGCTACTTCGTGACGGTGTGGCTGCGGAACAACAACCCGGAGGTGAGCGGGCCCTCCCGGGTGGGGGTGGGAGCCCGTGGTCCTCGGGTCATCGCTCTCCAGCCTGTGCAGCGGCGGGGCTGAGACACCACTGGGTCCAAGGAGGGGGAGACCTGATCGGCAGAGCCAGGGGGGCCCTGCAGGTGTCTTGATAAAGGCCCCTGGAGTTGCTGGACCAGGGTCCCTGTTCCACGTGTGCCGGGCACTCTCCAAGCGGTGCACTTGTGGGAGCCATTTCCACGCCACCTCCGGGTCATAGGACCATTTTACAAATGAGGAAACAGAGACACGGAGAGGTTGAGCACCTGTCCAAGGTGTCCTGAGTGAGAGTCAGGACTTGGGGGACAGGCTTGGCAGCTGGGGGGCCCGGGGGAGGCCTGGACCCTACTCCAAGGTCCCCTCAGTCACCTGTCCTTGATTCCGAGGCTGGGGCTGATGTCACAGGACCTTCCTGGTGGTCCTGGCCGAGGGGTCTAGAGACCAGGCTCCTGTGCTAGGTGAAGCTGGGGGTCATCAAGTCCCTGAAGCCCATGCTGAACCTCCTCCTGCCCAGCGATGCCCTGCGGGACCAGGTGTACGACTATATCCCTCTGCTGCTGGCGGAGTACCAGGGCAGCCTGGAGGCGCTCTTTATCACACAGGTGAGGGGCCTGGGCTGGGCGCTCAGGGTCTTTAGGGCTCTGGGGCCCACAGTGAGGCCACAGCTCTCACAGCACTTTCCTAAGGCTGTTGCAACAAAGAGCCAGGAGGCAGGTGCCTTAAAACCACAGAGATGTGTCCGTCATGGTTCTGGAGGCCGGCAGTCTGAAATCACGGTGTCAGCAGGCTAAGCTCCTTCTGTAGGCTCTAGGGAAGAACCTTGCCTTTTCCAGCTTCTGGTGGCCCAGGCACTGCATCACTCCAGCAACCCCCTCCGTGGTCACATGGCCATCTCTCTGTCTCTCTCTCTCTTCTCCTCTTCTCGTAAAGACACTGGTCCTTGGATGTAAGGCGTTGTCAGGGTGATCTCATCTTGAGAGCCTTAAGTAATTAGGTCTGCAAAGACCCTATTTCCAAGTGAGCTCACATTCTGAGGTTGTGGGTGGACATGGATTCTGGTGGCGGAGGACACCATTCAACCTCTTACCAGCCTTGGACGTGTGTGAGATGGAGTCTTTGCAAGATTCTGAGCCGAGTTGTGACCTGGGCTGCTGTATATTGTGAAGGGGGTCACTCATTTACAGACGAGGCGAGGCCCTTCTACTGGTGAGAGCTGGGAACAGAAAGAAATGTGCCACATTTGGGGAGCCACGTGCAGACCTTCTGTCTAAAGTTGGGATGCACCTCTAGGTGGCTAGGGGAGAAAGGGGAAGAAGGCCTTGAACACCACACTCAGTGGCCCTAGTGCAGCCCAGCCAAGCTGTAGTGTCCACCGCAATCCTCAGAGGCCGCTGGAAACAGAGTCGGACTCGGGGGTCTGGGCTTGAGAGGTGGAGTCTCTGCCCAGCTCCCAGGGGATACTGATACATCCAGAGGGGGAACTTCAAGGGGCAAAGGTCTGGCCTTTGACCTGAGTCGGTCGAAGGTCACCTGCCACCATTTCCCACCTGCGGCAGGTCTTGAGGCAGATCCTGGAGATGTCCGTCATCAGCAACAGCCCAGTCCCGCAAATGCAGCTGCACACCATCTTCTCGGAGCTGCATGTCCAGGTGAGCCCCAGGGCCTCACGAGGGTGGCCTTCCCCAGGGCGGGTCAGGGGAAGGGTGGGGGAGGGGTGCGCTGGGGGCGGGTCTGGGGAGGCGCGCTTGGGCCGGGTGGTGTGCCGACCAACCGCATCAGGTGCCAGGGTGGCGGTGGGCCCCGTCCGATGCTCCAGGCCTCCCGCCTCCTGCCAGGGGCGAGGCACAGGTGGGGCTCCTGCCCGTGTGCCCCGCCGTGGGGCTGACCTCTCCACCCCCCTGCCCGGCCCTCCCCAGGTGTGCTCCAGGGCCCCCGCCCAGCAGCGGTTCAGCAGCGAGAACCTGGCGGAGATCGTGCACTGCTTCATAGCCCTTGGTGAGGCGCCCCTGGGAGCCCTCGGGAGTGCTGGTCCCCCTCTGAGCGCCGGGCCCCGGGGCTGCCTTGTCCCGCTGCCGCCCTTGACTCAGGGCACGACTGAAGCTGTCCTTCCCCCTCACCCCTGCAGCCCGCTCCTACCCCAAGGAGCTGATGCAGTTCTTCCTCAGTCAGATGGAGATGAGCAAGGAGGCCGTCCGCGTGGGGACCCTAGCCCTGATCGGGGCAGTGGTGAGCGCAGATGGTGAGCACTCACCCCGCAGGGAGAACGGGCGGGAGCAAGGGTGGCAGGTGGCAGTCGTATCTGGCCATTTTCCCCCCTTAACTGTTTGGCCGCACCCTGAGGCGGCATGTGGGACCTGAGTGCCCTGACGGGGATCGAAGCCATGCTCCCCGCGATGGAAGCACGGAGTCTTAGCCCCCGGACTGCAGTGGAAGTGCCTGGGCCATTTCCTCTCTGTAGACCCTGCTGGGTGGGCCGCGGAGTCAGGGCTCTCCGGGGCTCCGTTTCCCGTTCTTGAACCTAAGCAGCCTTGTGTCCCACCCTCCACGGCCTCGCCCCTCTCCTTCAGCCCTGATCCCAGCTTCTGCCTGAGCCTGAATTTCAAACCACAAATCCTAGTATAGCTCCCAAAGCTAGCCGGAAGTCTGCACATAAAGCCTAGATACACAGTATAGATGTGCCCTGAAGCCCCGTTGACCCGGTGCCTAAGCTTAGTCTGAAACCCTGCTTCCGAATCCCCTCAGCCCAGCCCCCAAGCCCGGCCTAGCGACCCCCAGGGACACGCTGTTCCCCAGAGCGCCGGCGCAGAGAGCGTCCGCTTGAATGTGAACGCGCCGCCCTCTGCTGGCCGCGGCTGGTCTTGCATGGCTGGAGAAGCACACGTGCTGAGCTCAGGCGCTGCAGTCCCGCCCATTGTTTCCCAGCACGCCGGGCTCCTCTGTCCATGGGATTCTCCAGGCAAGAATACTGGAGTGGGTTGCCATTTCCTCCTCCAGGGGGTCTTCCTGACCCCCGGATCAAATCCACACCTCTCATGTCTCCTGCATTGGCAGGAGCGTTCTTTTCCACTAGCGCCACCTGGGAAGCCCTGAGAAGTGCTTGGTTGGCATCAGTTCAGCCCTTCAGCTACTTATCCTTGTGCAGTGCACACGCTGAGCAACTGTATGTGAGAGACATTCTCCTGACAGTAAACCCATCTTTTACAGAAATGCAAATTTAAGCAACAGTGAAAGTGAAACTTTATCAGTCATGTCTCACTCTTTCAGTTCAGTTCAGTCGGTAGGTCGTGTCCAACTCTTTGCGATTCCATGAACCTCAGCATGCCAGGCCTCCCTGCCCATCTCTACCTCCTGGAATCCACCCAAACCCATATCCATCAAGTTGGTGATGCCATCCAACCATCTCATCCTCTGTTGCCCCCTTCTCCTCCTGCCCTCAATCTTTCCCTCAATCTTATCAGGGTCTTTTCAAATGAGTCAGCTCCTTGCATCAGGTGGCCAGAGTATTGGATTTTCAACTTCACCATCAGTCCTTCTAATGAACACCCAGGACTGATTTTCTTTAGGAAGGACTGGTTGAATCTCCTTGCAGTCCAAAGGACTCACAAGACGCTTCTCTAACACCACAGTTCAAAAGCATCAATTCTTGGTGCTCAGATTTCTTTATAGTCCAACTCTCACATCCATACATGACCACTGGAAAAACCATAGCCTTGACTAGACAGACTTTTGTTGACAAAGTAATGTCTCTGCTTTTCGATATGCTATCTAGGTTGGTCATAAAATTCCTTCCAAGGAGTGAGCATCTTTTAATTTCATGGCTGCAGTCACCATCTACAGTGATTTTGGAGCCCAGAAAAATAAAGTCAGCCACTGTTTGCACTGTTTCCACATCTATTTCCCATGAAGTGATGGGACCAGATACCATGATCTTAGTTTTCTGAATATTGAGCTTTAAGCCAACTTTTTCACTCTCCTCTTTCACTTTCATCTAGAAGCTCTTTAGTTCTTTTCACTCTGCCATAAGGGTGGTGTCATCTGCTTTTCTGAGGTTGTTGATATTTCCCCTGGCAACCTAGATTACAGCTTGTGCTTCTTCCAGCCCAGCGTTTCTCATGATCTACTCTGCTTATAAGTTAAATAAGCAGGGTGACAATATACAGCCTTGACGTACTCCTTTTCCTATCTGGAACCAGTCTGTGGTTTCACGTCCAGTTCTAACTGTTGCTTCCTGACCTGCATACAGGTTTCTCAAGAGGCAGGTCAGGTGGTCTGGTATTCCCATCTCTTTCAGAATTTTCCAGAGGTTGTTGTGATCCACACAGTCAAAGGCTTTTGCATAGTCAATAAAGCAGAAGTAGATGTTTTTCTGGAGCTCTCTTGCTTTTTCGATGATCCAGCAGATGTTGGCAATTTGATCTGTTTCCTCTGCCTTTTCTAAAACCAGCTTTAGTTCACAGTTCACGTATTGCTGAAGCCTGGCTTGGAGAATTTTGAGCATTACTAGCATATGACATGAGTGCAATTTTGTGGTAGTTTGAGCACTCTTTGGCATTGCCTTTCTTTGGGACTGGAATGAAAACTGACCTTTTCCAGTCCTGAGGCCACTGCTCAGTTTTCCAATTTACTGAGATATTGAGTGCAGCACTTTCACAGCATCATCTTTTAGGATTTCAAATAGGACAACTGGAATTCCATCACCTCCATGACCTCTGTGATGTGAAAGAAATCTAGGTGCTCATTTATGCATAAATGAGTTGAGAAGGATACACCTAGACCATGAAGGCTGGTTGTCTTTTATTTTAATTTCTCAGTGAACATAGACTATTTTTATATCAGAAAAAAGGTTTCCATTTTAGAGATGAAAAGCTCTTAAGTGTAACATCGTCACTTGGTGCCTGAATTCCCGCTGTTTTCCACCCCGACCTGATGTCCTGTTATTCCTCCTCCTGCAGTGACGTCCAGTAGCACCTAGACTTGAGTGTAGCAAGGCCCTGAGCGCCTGACTGTGGATGTGTCCACACCGACCTCTCGAGAGCCTTCTCCGCGCCCTTCCTTACCTCCCTGATCTTCCTCCTCACCCTCCCTCCAGCACACACTCAGTCTTGCACACCAGGCCCCGTGTGTCTCAGCTCGTGTCACTGCTCACAGAGGCTGGTGAGGGACCCGCTCTCAGTGTCCGCCTGTCACAGGGCAGGGAGCTGAGGCTCAGAGGGCCTGAGTAAGTCCCGCGCGGTCACACAGTGGGATGCGGTGGAGCCAGAGACAGCGCAGCAGCCTGGCCCCGGAGCCCAGGCCTCCGCAGCTGGGCGGGGTGGTCTGCGTGTGTCCAATGTGTGTCTGGCCCTGTGTGTCCCATGAGGGGACCACCGAGCTCTCAGGAGGAGACCCTGCCCTCAGGGCGAGTCCCCTAGTTTCCAAAGAGACACACGCGGAGCAGAGGCCGAGGGAGTGAGGCCTAGAGACGACCCCCTGGGCTGGGGTGGGTGGGCATTGAGAGCGCCGGGTGACTTCTGAGGGCAGCGGCCCTGAGCTTGTGGGGCTGAGTCAGAGGTTCTCAGGAGACACGGCACGGACGGGTCCTGATCCTCTGTCTCCCGTGGAAGGTGGCAGAGAGGCCTCACCACTTCTGGGCATCTCCTCAGAGCCCAGCCCTGAGGCCAGTGGACCTTCAGGCGGGCTTTCCTCTTTCAGAGCCCAGAATGAGCATCAGGACCATCTCCCTGGCCATCCGAGTGGTCAAGAACACACTCTCCGACACCCGGTCCAAGGTAACAGGGCGGGGAGACCCAGAAAGGGGGAGTGTGCTGGGCTATGCCGGGCAAGTGGAGGGAAGTCAGGGCGCCTTCTTCCATCAGCTGCAGCCTGCTTGCCACCCCTCCCCTCCAGCTCTGTGCGTGGAGGCAAGGCTGCCTTCTCAAGGAAGGCCCTTTGATGGAAAACCTACCTTTCCAGCCAGTCCTGAGTGGGGCTGGAGAAGAATAAGGCTCCTCGAAGCTGTGGCCCCCTCCCGAGACCCTCCCTGTCACCAAGAACCTGGAGTTTTCCTCTGAAGGGGCTCTGACACTACCCTGGAGAGAGGAGAGGCCAAACACACCCAGCATCAGCCCAAGCTGCTAGGCTAGCTAGGTGTTTTGTAAGGTCATTACCACACTTGAGAAAAGCAACTCTGCAAATAAAGGCTAAAACCCACCATCTTGGCCACTGCAGCCTCAGCCCCCTGGAGAATAACTTGACTTCTGGACACGGCCCCTGTAGCTGACCCCTCATGTCCTGGGGGTGCAGTTCAGGATGGTGAGGGTCTGCACAAACCAGGAAGGGAACAGGGTACTGGGTCTTGAGCCTGAGGCAGAGCTGTCTTCAGTACCTGGAGGATGTCAGGGGCAGAGGGAACAGGCTTGTTCTGTGTCATCCCCACGCATGAGCCCTGGGGAGCCCGAGAGAAGAGGCAGGTGGTTCTCACCAGGGCTGCCTGAGGACGGAGCAGCCCCACTGAGAAAGCAGTGTGCTCATGTCTCTGAAGGGCACAGATGAGGCTCCTGGGTAGTCCTGCTGCTGAGCGGGGTCCCCTGCATGAGGCAGGCGGTGGTGGACAGAGTGGGCAGTATCCAGGTAGCCCCAGAGACCCCTTCCAGATCAGAGCACCCTCAAATCTTAGCTGTCTCATGTCATGGGATTGGGTGCCGGTGGAACTTCTAGTGCCCAGCATGTCTGTGCTCTGGCCTCTCAGGTGAGGATGGCCATTCTCCGCATCATCGGGCAGCTAGCCCTGTCTGGATTCCAGGACAGGATCAAAGGCTGGGGCCTGAAGTACGTGTCTGTGCAGCTGACCTTGTCTACCTACAAACTGGTGAGTGATGGCGGAGTGGCTGGGCTTTAGAGATGGTTCCCACTGCGCTGAGGAGAGAGCACTGCTCAATGAATCTGCATGCATGTACAAGTGCACACACACACACAGTAAGCTGCCAGGGGTCTAGAAAACAGTGAAACCCGTGCACAGCTCTGGGCTTCCGGGAGACTCAGTATCTGGGTGTAAGCCTCTTATGGGAAAATAAACCACAGGTGAGACCATGGCAAGCCCCTGCCAGCCCACAAGCAGGCACTCCTTGGTTCTGTCTTCCAGACCAACCGCAGGGACAGCTTTTATCAGAGGAGCCTAGAGGAGAAGATGGTCCACAAGGTCACCATGGACACCGTGAGGATCATAACCTCTTCTGTCAGTGGGATGAGCAATGTGAGTTGGCCCACTGGGCTGGCCCACTGGGGCTGATGGCTCATGTCTGTGCTCTGCGAGGCTGTGCGGGGAGGATGGCACAGGCCCAGGATTCTGCACCGTTGCTTCTCCCATTCCCACTACCTGGGAGGATGGGAGGCCCCAGATCTTTCAATTACCTGAGCTCGTTTTTCAAGATTCACTTCCTTCATGGGACCTTATTACCTTCAGCAGGGCAGTGCTTGGCACACAGTAGGCCTAATATGTATCACTTGACTTATTGCTTGAAATGCATCCATCACGTTAAAGCCCCTCAGTCCAGGGGTGTGTGTGTGCCCGCGCGGGCATGTATTCAGTCACTCAGTTCTGTCCGATTCATTGTGGCCCCATGGACTATAGCCCACCAGGCTCCTCTGCCTGTAGAATTTTCCAGGCAAGAATACTGGAGTGGCATGCCATTTCCTCCTCCAGAAGATCTTCCAGACCAAAGGACCAAACCTGTCTTCTGCATTGGCAGGCAGATTCTTCACCACTAGAGCCACTTCGGGAGCCCATGCATATGCGTGCATGTGTGTACATGTGTGCGTGTGCAAATAAGTGATTCTAGGGGTTATATTTCACGAACATTCATGAGTTCCAACTCTGTGTGAGGCATCCGGGCATACACAGTAAGGCTCAGTGTGACCCCAAGCTGTTCACAGGCTTTAGGGGAACAAATGCGTCAGTTTTTAATTGCATTACAATGTGACATAGCAGTAAGATAGGGAAAGCTTACCATGACTGCACATGGAGGGAACCATTGTCTGTTAATTGAGGCCATGGGCCAGATGCTCCCCATCCAGTGGCAGCTTCTCCTAATTACAAAAGTGATAGTTATAGTAAAAATAATAATAGTGGTTACAATTCATTGAGTACACGTGGCAGGCACTGTACTAGATGTGTAGTATCTAGAATCGTATTCAATTATCCCAACCACCCTGTGAGGTAAGGTCTATTGTTATTATTACCTAGCTTTTCTAAATGAGGAAACTGAGGCTCAGAGGGACTCATTAATTTCCTCAAGGATTCTAAGCTGGTAAAAAGTGGAGCCAGGATAAAATGGTCTTTCCTGTTCATTATGCTACATCCCTGGGGGAACCCAGTAGCCAGGGATTCTAGTCCTGATGGCTACAACACATCAAGCAAATTCACTTGTTAGTATCACAGGAGGTCACCCCAGATTCCTAGATGTGGAAGTGGGGCTAAAGGGAGTCAGGGTCACTGGGGGTGTTCAGTGATCACCTGGCGAGATGGGAGATGGCAGGGTGAAGTTGAAAGGCTAGAGTCATGGCTCGAAGAACCTGTACAGAAATAGAACCAATAGGAGATATGTGTGTGTGTCTGTGTGTGTCTGTTTGTGTATCTCAAAAATATCAATAAACTCAGATATGCAAATGACACCACCCTTATGGCAGAAATCAAAGAGGAACTAAAGAGCCTCTTGATGAAGGTACAAGAAGAGAGTGAAAAGGCTCACTTAAAACTGAACATTTAGAAAATCAAGATCATGGCATCCGGTCCCATCACTTCACAGCAAGTAGATGAGGAAACAATGGACACAGTGACAGACTTTATTTTCTTGGGCTCCAAAAACTTTACAGATGGTGACTGCAGCCATGGAATTAAAAGATTCTTGCTCTTTGGAAGAAAAGCTATGACAGACCTAGACAGCATATTAAAAAGCTGAGACATTACATTGCAGACAAAGATCTGCATAGTGAAAGCTATGGTTTTTCCAGGAGTCATGTAGAGATGAGACAGTTGGACCATAAAAAAGTCTGAGTGCCAAAGAACTGATGCTTTAGAATTGTGGTGTTGGAGCAGACTCTTGAGAGTGCCTTGGACAGCAAGAAGCTCAAACCAGTCAATACAAAAGGAAATCAGCTCTGAATAATTATCGGAAGTATTGATGCTGAAGCTGAAGCTCCAATACTTTGGCCACCTGATGGGAAGAGCTGACTCACTGGAAAAGACCCTGGTGCTGGGAAAGATTGAAGGCAGGAGGAGAAGGGGACAACAGAGGATGAGATGATTGGATGGCATCACCGACTATATAGACATGAGTTGAGCAAACTCCAGGAGATGGTGAAGGACAGGAAGGCCTGGCATGCTGCAGTCCATGGGATCGCAAAGAGTTGGACATGACTGAGCAACTGAAAGACAACATATGTATTGTGCAATTGTGAAGGCTGGAAAGTCTGAATTTTAGCAGGTAAGCTGGCAGACTGAAAACTTAAGACAGTAGCTGAGGCTGCAACCTTGAGGCAAACTCTCTTCTTCCTCAGGGAAACCTGTTTTTTGCCCTCAACTGATTTGATCAAGTCCACTCACATTTTCCAGAGTAACCTCCTATATGGATTATGGACTTTCATCAAATTACATCAAAATACCTTCACCGCCATGCCTAGATTAGTGTTTGATTGAATAACTGTGTGCATTCACTTGCCAAGTTGACACATAGAAACTAATCATCACAGTTGGCAAGCATGGCTAGGTTGTCTGCCCAGTGTGCCTCTCTAGGGGATTGGGGGTTAGAGAGAGGGCTGGTCAAAGAGGATGTGCTGGCTGCGTGGTTGGAGTGAGGCAGGGAGCACAGAGGTCAAGGGCCCAGGACTAGCTGACCTCTTCAGCCATGGGGTGGGTGCAGCTTAGACGGCCTTGGCTAAGACCCAGGCTGGACAGCAGAGCTGGCGGGCCTGAGGCGGTCAGTCATGGGTCGGAGTGTGGTTCTGGAGAAGCGAGGCTGAGACAAGGCTGTCGGGGTGGGGAGGGACCGACGATCTCATCGCAGGACTGCGATGCCCAGGCTGGCTGACCCCAGCACCCCCACCTCACCCCCATCGCCCCCACAGGAATTTTGGGTGAGGCTCCTCTGCTACATCATGGAGACGGACTACACAGAGGCCTTGACCCCCATCTGCGTCAGCCTCACCAACCTGGCCGAGCGCCAGCTGCACGCCAACGACGAGGAGGCCAATGCAAGCAAGAGCAGGCACGGTGGGCAGCCCCCCTGCACAAGCTGGAGGGACTGGGCAGGTGGGCCGCCCCATGCCTCGGACCGTTCCCCCTTCTCCAGGAAGCAGCATGGAGCCCAGAGAGCCAGGTCTTGCCAAAGAGGCCGCCCTTGCCGAAATCTGAGGAGGTTAAAGCCATGCACGCTTGCTCTGGCAGCCCACTCCTCTCATCCCGCCTCCCACCCACCCTGGCCCAGACCCCAGGGCAGGGGTCCTGGCTCAGGCTTCCCGCAGGTGTGAGCTCTCTGGCCCCCGAGAGCCCACTGGAAGGACTGTATATCCTATCTGAGGCCTCTGGAACCACCCCCACCACGCCCTCCGACTCACCGTGATTACGCACTTGTTAGCACCAGACCCTCAAGAAAGGGACTAGCCCGACATACTTACGGGGACCCTGCTGTCCCAGGGGGCTGCTGTCATGGTCCTGGGGCTTTGAGGATGGATGTGGCCGGTGACAGAAGGTGACTGCAAGCCTACAGGACCCAGAGATAGTAGGGTCAGAGCCTGCTCTGAGCATCTGGCTAGACCACCCCTAGTCTGCCTCCTGCCCAGACCCTGAGTCTAGGGCTGGCTCCTCCCTGGGTGCCGCCCCTCCCTGCAGCTTCCAGCAGGCCTGCCCTTACCTAGCCCACTCGTCCAAATGTTGTGAGCACCCTACTCGTGGGCTCACAGCCTCCCAAAGCCTGCAGAGGGAAGGAAGGGGAGGGGGCGATGTCTAGTTACTGTTGGCTAAAGAAGGCCAAGACTCACAGTAGGAGAGAAACAGTCTCAGGCTGGCTGGGGGTGCACTCTCAGGCGGGCACGTCCTGAAAAGAGCACAGTACATGCACCCACATATATGGAATTTAGAAAGATGGTAATGATGACCCTATATGCGAGACAGCAAAAGAGACACAGATGTAAAGATCAGATGTTTGGACTTGGTGGGAGAAGACAAGGGTGGGATGTTGTGAGAGAATAGCTCTGAAACATGTACATTACCACATGTGGAATAGATCACCAGTCCAGGTTCAATGCATGAAACAGGGCAGGCACTCAGGGCTAGTGCCCTGGGATGGCCCTGAGGGGTAGGATGGGGAGGGAGGTGGGAGGGGGGTTCAGGATGGGGAACACATGTCCACCCATGGCTGATTCATGTCAATGTATGGCAAAAACCACCATAATATTGGAAAGTAATTAGCCGCCAATTTAAATAAATAAATTGAAAAAAAAAAAGAGCATCTTCTCAGCACCAGCCCAGAGCACCAGGCTCCTTCTTCCCGGGATGGCCAGTTATAGTGATGTTCTTTGTGGAAAATCGCCCCTCCTTACCCCTCCTGAATTCTGGGGGGCGCTGGGATGCTGTTGGGGCAACACCTTGCAGGGGAAGCTCCCCCACAGTACGGGAGCGGGGCAGCCTCAGTGTGCTGTATCTTTCTCTCCTCAGTGGATCTGCCCGCACCACAGAAGCTGCTGGCTCGACTCCTGGTGAGTGGCTCACGGTGCCATGCACTGGCCTGGCCCCCGCTGTGTCCTGCAGCGCCCCTCCCATAGCTCCTAATCCCCAGGGCCTCCAGGGGGAGCAGGGAGCTGGATGCTTGGCAGGACAGAGCTTTCTAGGTCCCCGTCATTTCTCTGGGTAGATATGGCAAGGGCAGCAGGCTCCCAGATTTCTCTGCTGGGCCTTTGGCCCCAAGCATCTGCAGGACTCTGTCAGCAGTCTGCCCTTCCCTGGGGGTCAGCTGTGCCCTGCACCATGCATCCTCCTCCATGTGTTGACCCTGCTCCGAGCTCCATGGAACCCGGGGTGGGGAGGGAGCCCATGCTCTCGTGTCTCCGTTCCTGCCTTCAGCATCCTCTGCAGGGATGCTCTGATCCTGGGAATCCTCGGAGCTCTGCTTGAAAGGCCCCATCCTGTCCAACTCTCCCTTTATGGGCTCGGACAGCGAGGCCCCAGGTTGGGGCATGCGGGGCCTGGGGCTACCCAGCCAGCGAGGGGCCCCACTGGAGTCTCGGTGTTCCCCAGGTACTGATGTCATCCCCCTATAAGGGGGAGGGACGCGGAATCGCCATGCTCAACCTTCTGAAGACCCTGAGCCAGAGCATCGCCCCCTCCATGGCCGACATGTGGGAGCTGGAGATCCCGCTGCTGGTCAAGTACCTGGAAGGTAAGATGCCCCTGGTGTGTGTGTGAACCAGCCCGTAAGTGTACCCGCCGGGTGCTAGACCTATGGCTTAGCAAAGGAGCCCGAGTGCATGTGTGATCCCCCCACACACCCCTAGTGTACATGCCGGGTACTCACCACCTCGTCTGAGCAAAGGAGCCCGGGGTGTGTGGGCCACCTCACATCACTGTACATGCCGAGAACCAGTCACGTGTCCTGAGCAAAGGCGCCCGGGCTCCAGGTGGCCGGCACAGCCCACTCTGCTCCTTGGGAGGGTGGGGAGGGACGTGGGGCTGTGGGGAGCCCGTCCACGGAGGACCCCAGATGCTGCATTTAGGAGGCGGCATGGAGGAGCTGCAAGAGAGAGGAGCACGGGTGGCCCTTCTCTCTGCAGAACACACCGAGTTTACCTGGAACCAGAAGACGTGGGAGGACAGGCTGATTCAGGTAGAGGTGATCCCGCCACCTGAGGCCGGGGTGGGGGCGGTGGGGGCAGCTCTCTGTGGGTTTGGCGTGGGGGGAGTTCGGGAGCCCCCAGGGGACACATTCCCCTCCTGTCACAAGACTTGGGGAGCACAAGCAGCTCCAGCAGGAGACCCCACCCTGGAAGCCCAAGCCCCGGAGGCAGCACAGGGTGACCCCTCCCGGCAGCCCCCAAGTCCGCATAGCACTAGGGCTGGGTCAGAGCTGAAAGGGGAAGCCCTCTAGAGACCCAGGAAGACGCTGGAGAGGGAGAATCACAGCTCGAGGAGCACAGCCCTCTGGAGCACTGCCCACCTGTGCCTTCTTCCCCCACCCCCAGTTTCTGAGAAACTCCCTCAAGATGACTCGGGGTTCCAGCTGGAGCCTGCGTCTGAGCAAAGAGCTGAACAACCAGATCGAGAGCTTCGACAGCCCCTCCCTGGAGAAGGTTGGTTCCCAGAGGCAGGGCCGTTCAGACAGGGAGGGGACTCCGGGGACAGCCCCCGTGAGGCCAGGTAGGCCTGAGGCTGCCCACAGTGCCCTGGGAGGGGAGACGGCTGGCTGGTCCAGACCCGAGTGCTGTGGTGTTTTGTTCTGTCTTGTTTTCCCCTCAAGAACCTGCTTCGTTGGAGCTGGAGGGCATTTCCCCTCCAGTCACCAGCTTCCTCATTCCTGTCACCTCACCCCCACCTGCAGTGTCGTCCCTAGCAGAGTCCATGGCAAGGAATGAGATCTGAACGTGTTTTGGTAAATAGTGAAAAGGGTGAAGGTGGCACCAATCCACAGGATGCCCAAGGGGGAAGATAAGGCCTGGAGGGGGAAGTGGAGCTGGCGCTTGGTGGTGGACCTCCACCTTTGGCAGACGGGGGTAGAAGACAGAACACCTTCTATCAAACCATGCTGCACACCCACCCCCATCCTTCCCCACACACTAGTTTCTCCTCTGTGTCTCATCCAGCTGTTGGCTCATGACCACTGCATGTGTCTATTTCATCATTGAGGGGTCTTTATAAAACTATAAACATTGTTGAAAATCAGAGAGGGTCTCGGCCAATGGAAAGCATTTCATGTTCACAGATTAGAGGACACTATATTTAAGATGGTGACACCTGCCAATTTATCTATATATTCAACACGACCCCTTCTATAATCCCAGCTGGCTTCCTGCCCCCACCCCAAGAAATTGAAACTGTGACCCTAAAATTCCTGTGGTATTATAAGGGGCCCAGAATAGCCAACACAGTTATGATTTAAAAACAAACAATTTGGAAGACTCAGATGTTGCAATTTCTAGACTTCTTGCTTAATTACGGTAAACAAGACAGGGTGATACTGGCATCAAGATAGATAATAGATTGATTGTATAGAATTGAGGGTCTGGAAATAGACCTCACATTTACTGTCAGTTGATTTTCAACAAGAGTACCAAGGCAGTTCAGTGGAGAAGGATTCGTCTTTTCAACAAGTGATGCTGGGAAGACTTGCATAGCCACTTACAAAATGATGAAGTTGGGCCCCTTCCTCATTCCATACACAAAAATGAACTCAAAATGGACCATATATGTAAATATAAAAGGTAGAACTATAAAATTCTAAGAGTGAAACATAAATATAAATCTTCGTGATTTTGGCCTGAGCAAAGTCTTCTGAGAAATAACACCCAAAAGCACAAGTGATGAAAGAAAAAATAGATAAATTGAACATCATCAAATCTAAAAATTTCTGTGCTGAAAATGGTACCGTCAATAAAGTGAAAAATCAGCCCACCGAATGAGAGAAAATATTTGCAAATCTAGTCCCTGAGTAGGTACTGATATCTAGAATATATAAAGGACTCTTGTAACTCAATAATATAATGACAAATAAGCCAATTTAATAATGGGCAAAGGAAAGATACACAAATGGCAAGTAATCACACGGAAAGATCCTCAAGAGCATTGCCATTGAGGAAACGCAAATCAGAACCGCAGGCGTCGCTCCACCCTCGCAGGGTGTCTGTAACCAGAGAGACAGATAATGACAAGCACAGGCGTCGCTCCACACTCGCAGGGTGTCTGTAACCAGAGAGACAGATGATGACAAGCACAGGCGTCACCCCACACTCGCAGGGTGTCTGTAACCAGAGAGACAGATGATGACAAGCACAGGCGTCGCTCCACCCTCGCAGGGTGTCTGTAACCAGAGAGACAGATGATGACAAGCACAGGCGTCGCTCCACCCTCGCAGGGTGTCTGTAACCAGAGAGACAGATGATGACAAGCACAGGCGTCACCCCACACTCGCAGGGTGTCTGTAACCAGAGAGACAGATGATGACAAGCACAGGCATCACTCCACCCTCGCAGGGTGTCTGTAACCAGAGAGACAGATGATGACAAGCACAGGCGTCGCTCCACACTCGCAGGGTGTCTGTAACCAGAGAGACAGATGATGACAAGCACAGGCATCACCCCACACTCACAGGGTGTCTGTAACCAGAGAGACAGATGATGATGACAAGCACAGGCATCACCCCACACTCGCAGGGTGTCTGTAACCAGAGAGACAGATGATGACAAGCACAGGCATCACTCCACACTCGCAGGGTGTCTGTAACCAGAGAGACAGATGATGACAAGCACTGACAAGGGTACGGAAAAAGTGGGACTCTGATATATTGCCGGTATAAATACAGAACGGTACAGTGTTTTTGAAAAACGGTTTGTCATTTTCTTGAAATGTTAAATATGGAGCTACCTATGACCTAGCAATTATGCTCTTAACTATATATGCCCAGAAGAAATTAAAACATACGTCCACACAAGAGCTTGTATGTAAATATTCAGAGCAACATCATTCAGATAGCCAAAAGTAGAAAAAACTCAAGTGTTTGTCAGTGGATGAATGAATAAACAAAATGTGCTATATCCATACAACAGAGTAGTATTCAGCCATGAAAAGGAATCAAGTGCTCGCATCTGCTACAGTAAGGATGATCCTTGAAAACATTACAGTAAGTGCAAGAAGCCAGGTGCAGAGGACCACATATGATGTGGTTCCACTTATTTGAAATATCCAGAAAAGGCAAATCTGATGAGGCAGAAAATTAGAAGGGTGGTTGTCATGGACGAGGAGAATGTGGGGTGATTGCCAATGGGTACAGAATTTCTTTTTTGGGGTGATGCAAATGTCCTAACCTTGGCTGTGATGGCTATCACACAACTTGGTAAATGTGTGAACTTAAAATTTTTAAACCTTAAATGGGCTCATTTATCGGTATGTCAATTATACTTCAATAAAGATGTTTAAAAAGAATTTTTAGAAGTATCAACTAAAGTTTTCATTTGTTCAAATATGCACCCTTCATAATAGCATATGTAAAATATACACAGCAATGTATATCTTCTGTAGCTAAGTGCTATAGATTTGTGGGTGTGAGATCTTATCAGATATCAGTTCGGGGCCAGATGCCCATTTGAAAGAAACTTGTCTGTAGTATTTAATAAGCCAAATGCATGTAATTCAACCTTATTACAATAACTCACCTAGCTTAAAGGAACGTAACAGACAAATAGGGTTTCATTGGCTCAGATAGCTTAAAAAGTCAAGACTGGATACAGTGGCTTAAGGAATTTCATCAGGACTCTCCCAGACTCTTCATCACTCAAACAGGAATCCTCTGGGGAGGGTGGGGGCAAGGCTGCTGAAGCCTCCAGATTTGTAATTCTGGTAGATAGAGTCATTCTTTCCCCAAAAGTAACAGGCAAAACCATAATCTCTCCTATAAACAAACAAAACAAAAATACAACATAATGAAAAGAGACCCTATTCAAAGCAGCAACACAATGTAAAATATGTAACCAAATAAAAATAGTGAATATATGAAATATGTGGAACCAAGGTGAAGAACCCCAAATTACAAGAAGGGGCAGGAAGGCTGAAAGACAGCCTGACCAAACATACACAATCTCTGCTTCTTGGATAGGAAGTCTCAGTGTTGCTCAGGTGTCCTTTCTTTCTCAAGTTAATCTGTAAGACAGGGACTTCCCTAGTGGTCCACTGGTTAGGATTCCGTGCTTCCACTGCAGAGGGGAAGGGTTTGGTCTCTCATCAGGGAACGAAGATCCCGCACAGCAAGCGATGCAGCCAAAAAACAAACAAACAAAACTCTGCAATGCAATTTACTTCTAATTTCCCAAAAGGGAAATTTGTGGAAATCTGACAGTTTTATTTGACAAGATTATTTCCACGTTTGCCCTAATTAAAAAAATGTAAGAGAATAATAACTAAGAGCATATCTTTAGAAACGCTCATTAGAGAAGGATTTGTTCTCTCAGAACAAAGATGTAAGTGTATGAAATGAAATACAACCATGGAGTGACAGGAAGAATGTACAGATGAATATTTTCATAGTCTTAACATGGAATAGAATAGACCTTCATATGCATAAAAAGAATCTTTTAGAAAGACAAAGGAAAAGAAAAAGACTGTACTCTGAAAAATAAAAATTGTCTGCATGACCAAATGAAATCATTGTGAATAAAATCAAAAGAGAAATGAGACACTGTGGAAATGGACCACAGGAGTGATCACTTAAGAAGTGAGCTTCAGGCTATGCTTAGTTTTATTCTTTCCTTCTTTAAGATTTTTTTTTATGTGGACCATTTTTCAGAAGTCTTTTGAATTTGTGATGGTATTGTTTCTGTATTATGTTTTGGCTTTTTGACTGCTTGATTTTAAACCCCGGTTCTACTACTTCCTGCTAATGTTCTCGTCTCAAAATACCTATTTGCCTTTCAGAGTAGTTGTGCAGATTAAATGAGATAATATATGTCTGGTCTCGTTATTTTTTCCCAAATGTACACAGAATGTTCTTGTAAACAAAATATAAGAGACATAATCCAACAATGGGGAAAGAATTGAGGCAGAAATTCCAAGATTGGACCATGAGAAGATGCAAAGATGACTAACCAAGATGCAAACATTCCACCTCTCTCGGATAATATCCTAAGCCAGAGAGAAGGCAGGAACATAAGTGCTCCTAGGTTTGTTGGTGGGAGTGTAGATTGACTCCGTTTATATAGGAGAGAAACTTGGCCCCCGCTCTTGGTAACCTGCCTGCCCTGCTACAGCCTAACCTCTCAGATTAACCTGGATACTTGTTTTGGAAAAATATCCAAAAGGCATATTTTTAAGTCTGGAGGAACGAGTAGGGACCCACCCTTGGCAGTGGCCCCAGAGGCCCGGGCGGGAGACTTGAAGCGCCCTCCGTCCCTCCCGCCTCTCCAGGGCTTTCTGTACCGGGCCTTGGGCTTCACCCTGGCCACGGGCCTGGAGGCCGACAAGGTGGAGGTGGTGCTGCTGGAGCTGCTCTACAAGACCGACTACAGCGACGACTTCGACCGGGAGGTGAGGCGCCCGTGGTCCCCCGGGCCTCGGGAGGACGTGGTGTGTGCACGCCTGTGCCTGTGTGCGGGCGTTGTGTTTATCTGAGTGTGCGCGTGCGTGTCTGTTTATCCGTGTGTGTGTGTGTGCCGGGGGGACAGAGGGGGTGTCCCCCGCCCCACCCTCTCACCCTGCCCCCTGGGTCTCCCGGCAGGGTGTGATTCTGTGCTTTGGCCTGTGTGCACGGGGTCAGGTGAAGATGGTGCTGGGCGTGCTCCATGACTTTGAAGAGAGGATCCAGGAGTCGGAGCAGTCCTGGCAGATCGGCGCCTGGCGGGTGAGGCACCCTTGCTCCATCGTCAGCTCTCTGGGGGCCTCTTAGAATGGTGTTTTCAGCCCCCAACCAAGGCTCTTCAGTTCAGTTCATTTCAGTATCTCAGTCATGTCCAACTCTTTGTGACCCCATGGACCGCAGCACGCCAGGCCTCCATGTCCATGACGAGCTCCTGGAGCCTACTCAAAGTCATGTTCATTGAGTTGGTGATGCCATCCCACCATCTCATCCTCTGTTGTGCCTTTCTCTTCCCGCCTTCAATCATTCCCAGGATCAGGGTTTTTTCAGATGGGTCAGCTCTTTGCATCAGGTGGCCAAAGTGTTGGAGTTTTAGCTTCAACATCAGTCCTTCTGATGAATATTCAGGACTGATCTCCTTTAGGATGCACTGGTTGGCTCTCCTTGCAGTCTTATTAGATCTGAATAAGAAACTCCCCTCTGTGTCTCCTTCACCAAAGTGAAGCGGGGAATTGGACCGAGGCGGACAAAGGCTGGTCCCTGGAGGCTGTCCCTTCCATCCGAAGGGCACAGTGTCCCGGACTGGCTGAGTCCCCAGGGGGCCACCAGCTGAGTCACCACCAATGCTTCAGGTTTTGGCCTTAGCCTTGAACCTTTGCCCTGGGGATCTGGTAGTTTGAATAGAGAATTGGGAGTGTCCCGGCTTCTCTCCCGGGTTCTCCACAAAGTGGAGCCTCAGACCTGGATTTCTACTCAAAGCCTGGAGAGCGTGGGCTCCCTTCCTCCTCCTCTCATGGTGGGTTGGGTGGCCTCCGACACTCCTCCCGGAAGAGCTGGGCTGAGGCTCTCTGTTCCCAGTGAATCACCAGCATCTCGGAGCCCCTGGCCCAGAGCCGGTGCTCAGGAGGTGAAGGTGTGAAGGCGCGCACAGCCGCCTCTGGTGGGGTGTCCGCACAGAACCCCTGCGACCGTGGAGTCATGGCCACGGCCTGACCTGCTCACCACGCCACGGCCAGGGCATAGCGTACCCCAGGGGCTCATGAACGTGTGTTCAGTGAGAGAATACATGATTGAGCGCTTCAGGTGCCCAGGAAACCCTGAGGCATAGATCCTCTCCCCGATGGCCACAGTGTCTCTTCCCCTTCTCGCTGGCCTCACAGAAGGACCATCCCTGGAGGCGGGAGACGGTGAAGGGCGCGCTCATGGTGATGTACAGCCGCGTGGCCTCGTGCTGCCACCCGCAGATGCTTCTCACCCACGTGGACAACCCCATCACCGCCAAGATCATCCACCACTATTCGAGCAGCTGCCAGGCAACCCCGGGAGCCCACAGACACGCCAGGCCCCTACGATGCCCTACTGGCACCCCGTGCTGGGTGGGGGGACTCACCCTGCATGGTTATCTGGGCACTGCCAGCCCCACCCCGTGCCCTGACGATGCCCTCCTTGAGCCCCGGGCCGGGGCGGGGGGAGTCACCCTGCACTGTTATCTGGGCACTGCCAGCCCCACCCCGTGCTCTGAGGATGCCCTCCTGGAGCCCCGGGCTGGGGCGGGGAGAGTCACCCTACATGGTTATCTGGGCACTGCCAGCCCCACCCAGGAGATTCCCGTCTGCCACTCAACATTTGGGAATCCCATTGCCCCAGGCTCTGCTGCTCTCTGCTGCAGGGGCTGGGGATGGGGGGTAGGCGCTGGGGAGCAGCCCTTCCCCAATACACCGAGTAGGGGTGTTTGTGTGTTGCTGAAGTCACAGGACAAGCCCTCGCCCAGCCCTTCACACATGCCTTCTCTCACCTCTGCCCCGATCCTGACACCTGACCCCAAGCCCTTTCTGAGGGTCAAGAAAGGGGCTGTCTTCAGAGAGGCAAAGGGACCGGCTTCTTTCTTGGAAAGGCCAGGAGGAGAAAACTCAGGAGAAATGACTTTATCATTGCTGTTTTGAAAACTGGTGAAGTACACATGACGTGATATTTGTCATCACAACCACTTTTAAGCATGCAGTTCATTGGCATATAGTTCAGTTCAGCTCAGTTCAGTCACTCACTCATGTCCAACTCTTTGCGACCCCATGGACCACAGCACACCAGATCTCCCTGTCCATCACCAACTTCTGGAGTTTACTCAAACTCATGTCCATTAAATCGGTGATGCCATCCAACCACCTCATCCTCTGTTGTCCCATTCTCTTCCCACCTTCGATCTTTTCCTGCATCAGGGTCTTTTCCAATGAGTCAGTTCTTCACATCAGGTGGCCAAATATTGGAGTTTCAGCTTCAGCATCAGTCCTCCCAATGAATATTCAGGACTGATTTCCTTAGGATGAACTGGTTGGATCTCCTTGCAGTCCAAGAGACTCTCAAGAGTCTTCTCCAACACCACAGTTCAGAAGCATCAATTCTTTAGCACTCAGCTTTCTTTATAGTCCAACTCTCACATCCATACATGACTACTGGAAAAACCATAGATTTGACTAGTCAGACCTTTGTTGACAAAGTAATGTCTCTGCTTTTCAATATGCTGTCTAGGTTGCTCATAATTTTTCTTCCAAGGAACAAGTGTCTTTTAATTTCATGGCTGCAATCACCATCTGCAGTGATTTTGGAGCCCCCCAAAAATAAAGTCTGTCACTGTTTCCACTGTTTCCCCATCTATTTGCCATAAAGTGATGGGACCAGATGCCATGATCTTAGTTTTCTGAATGTTGAGCTTTGAGCCAACTTTTTCACTCTCCTCTTTCACTTTCATTAAGAGGCTCTTTAGTTCTTCTTTGCTTTCTGCCATAGGGTGGTGTCATCTGCTTTTCTGAGGTTGTTGATATTTCTCCTGGCAACCTAGATTCCAGCTTGTGCTTCTTCCAGCCCAGCTTTTCTCATGATGTACTCTGCATATAAGTTAAATAAGCAGGATGACAATATACAGACTTGATGTACTCCTTTTCCTGTTTGGAACTAGTCTGTTGTTATGTCCAGTTCTAACTGTTGTTCCTGACCTGCATACAGATTTCTCAGGAGGCAGGTGAGGTGGTCTGGAATTCCCATCTCTCTCAGAATTTTCCAGAGGTTGTTGTGATCCACACAGTCAAAGGCTTTGGCATAAAGTCAATAGAGCAGAAGTAGATGTTTTTCTGGAGCTCTCTTTCTTTTAGATGATCCAACGGAGGTTTGCAATTTGATCTCTGACTCCTCTGACTTTTCTAAATCCAGCTTGAACATCTGGATGTTCACAGTTCACATACTGTTGAAACCTGGCTTGGAGAATTTTGAGCATTACTAGTGTGGTGTTAAGTGCATTCAAGCTGTTGGGCAGCCATCACCATCATTCATCTCCTCAACATCATCTTCCTAAACTGAAACTGTGTCCCTACTAGCATTAGCTCCCCAGTCCCCCTCCCCTAGCCCCTGGCATCCACACTTCTACTTCCTGTCTCTATGATGGTGACGCTCCAGCCATCTCATATAATCGGAAATCACAGTATTTGTCCTTTTGAGACTGGCTGATCTCATGTCGCATGATGTCTTGAAGTTTTGTGCATGTCTTAAAAGCAAAACTGATTTGACCTCCATGATTTACTGTACCCCTAACGTGATGCACAGGGCTCGGAGCCTCTGGTCAGTGAAGGTGCCCCCTGACTGGCATTGCTGTACTCGGGCACAGGATGGAGAGGTTGGGGGATGCATCACCTTCTGGGGGGGCACTGGAGGGCTGTGCCCTGTCCAGCACCTGGCCCATGTCCCTCCCAGGTTGCTGAAGGGCAGGGTGGGGCCAGCGTCTCTCAGGGTGCCCCTGACACTGATACTTCCTCAGCAGGGGAAGGGTGTTCTGTGTGGCCCCAGGGTCTGGGAGCAGGGCTCAGTCTTGGGGTCATTGGGGCTCACTCACAACAAGGTCCTCCCTGCCCTTCGTCATGCTCACAGGACATCTGCCTCAAACTGGCCTTCATGAAGAGCGTGGTGCAGGTCACCGATGCCATCAAGAACAGCAAGGACCTGGAGGACTTCCAATTTTCCCAAAAAGCGACCCTGACTGGCATTATCATGGTAAGCTATCTAGGGGGCTTCCTCCATCCTGGGCAGTTTGGGGGTCTCACTCTGCTGACCTGAGGCCATCTGAGGCCCAAGGGGCGGCAGGGGTCTCTGAGGCCCTGCCTGTCTCAGTTCCGCTTTAACCTGACTGTCGGTGTTCTGCGTGTGACATTCTTATATCTGATAAAGGTTTTCATGGCCAGGAAACATTCCGGAAGCCGGGGCTGAAGACCCTGCCCCCGAACCCGGTGATGCCCCGAAGGTGTCTGGTTCCGGGCTAGGAGACAGAGCCCCACGGTCAGCCCCTTGGTAGCCCCAGCGTTTCTCCCTAGTCAGGACCAGGAGGTCGGGCTCTGCCGTGGACAGGACTTAGAGCTACTTTTGCCCAGAACTTTGTTAAGATCTAGAAAGTACCAGCTGTGCAAAGGCAAGAGGCAGCGTCAGGGGCTCCTGAGGCTGTGGGTCAGCCCGTCCATCGTCCCCAGACCTCTCCACGCGCCTGCGATGGAAACCCTGGTCCCTGGACACCCTCTGGCTGCACTGGCAGCACCCTGGAGGGAAGGGAGATGTGGACGGTCAGGAGGCCCTGAGAAAGAAGCAGACATTCACTAGGCTCCCGCTTGGGGTCAGGCCACACGCATGTAATTTCACAGCAGCCTGGAGGGAAGGGAGATGCGGACGGTCAGGAGGCCCTGAGAAAGAAGCAGACACTCACTAGGCTCCCGCTCGGGGTTGGGTGACACGCATGTAATTTCACAGCAGCCTGGAGGGAAGGGAGGTGCAGACGGTCTGGAGGCCCTGAGAAAGAAGCAGACATTCACCAGGCTCCCACTCGGGGTCGGGCCACACGCATGTAATTTCACAGCAGCCTGGAGGGAAGGGAGATGCGGATGGTCAGGAGGCCCTGAGAAAGAAGCAGACATTCACTAGGCTCCCGCTTGGGGTCGGGCCACACACATGTAATTTCACACCAGCCTTGCACAGCCCTGTGAGCCAGGCCCCGAGTCCTCATTTCACACCTGAGCAAGGGCTCAGGCTGAGGAAGCGATTTGCCCAAGGACACACAGCCAGTAAGTGGCAGAGATGAGCGAGGCGCACCTGCCCATCTTAGCCCCACTGCTCCCATGAGATTTTGGTGCTTCCCCTGGGCTTCCATTGTGGCTCAGCCGGTTAATAATCTGCTTGCAATGTAGGAGACCTGAGTTCTATCTCTGGGTTGGGAAGATCCCCTGGTGAAGGGAAAGGCTACCCACTCCAGTATTCTGGCCTGGAGAATTCCATGGACTGTATAGTCCATGGAGTTGCAAAGTTGGACACGACTGAGCAGCTTCACCTAAAACGTCAAAGGCCAACTGACCATGAAAAGAATGAAAGCGCCTGTGGTATCGGATCCCGTCGTACAATGTCAGGTCCTCCTGCCTGTAACGCAGGGCGTGCCCCTGCCATCTGTCCCCCAAGCCCCTGCCCTGGCCGTGGTGCGACTCCGGGTGGCTGGCGGCTCACTGCCCTGCTGTCCTGGCAGGCGATCATCAAGGCAGAACCGACTGACAGCCTGGTTTCTCCCGTGCGGACCATGGCCATGGATGCCCTGTCCTACTTGAGGTGAGCCGGGCCTCTGGCCAGGCCCCCAGCGCCGCCCTGGGCTGCAGACAAAGTCTGAGACCACCTCTCGGTGCCTTTGGGGGAAGGTCACACCTCCTTTGGGGCTTCCCTGGAGGCTCGGATGGTAAAGAATTTGCTTGCAATGCAGAAGACACAGGTTTTATCCCTTGGTCGGGAAGACCCCCTGGAGACGGGAATGGCAACCCACTCCAGATTCTTGCCTGCAGAACCCCATGGATGGGCTATAGTCCATGGGGTCAAAAAGAGTCAGATTCGAACACTTTCACTTTAAACAAAATGACTGGATTTGGGTAGGAGTGGGAGGGCCCGGAAAGGTGAAATACAGGACCCCTTTGGAGGGCAGGAGTTTAGAGTTTAAGTGGAGGGTGGCTCTCCCTTCTGAAGGCAAAACAGAGCCAATGAGGAACTTGTAATAATTCTGCAACCCTGCCCCACCAAAGACTTCAACAAGGATCCCTGGACTTGGGCATGGCCCCTGGGGCCCTTAGAAAGCTCTCCTGTGACTCTAATATGCAACTAGGCTTGGGATCCACCTATGAAGGGGACAGAAAGAGAATCAGCTGGCATGCATCAGGCAGATAGCTACTACCACCAAAGGTTTATTAAAACACAGATGGCCTCCATTCCAGAACGTTTTTGGTTTTATTTAAGATTTTTTTTTACATGGACCATTTTTTAAAAAGTCTTTATTGAAGTTGTTACAGTATTGCTTCGGTTTCATGTTTTGGCTTTTTGGCCACGAGACTCATGGGATTGACCCTGCACCCCTGGCACAGTACGGCAAAGCCTTAACCACTGGACTGCCAGGGGAGTCCTCCACTCCAAAGGTGGTGATTCAGCAGCTCTGAGGTGGAGACACAGAATTTGCATTTTCTAATAAACTCCAAGGGGATGCTGATGCTGCTCCTGGGCCAGGTATTACAGTTGAAAACTCCTGGGCCAGGACCACCCAGAAGCAGAGTCTGTGGCCGCAGTCAGGGAGGACCAGTGGAATGTTTCTGAACAGGAGAGAGAGACTCAGAGCAGACAGTGATAGGAGAGGTGGCTGTGGACGCCTGCATCTCCCCTTCCGTCACAGACAGACAGTGGACTGGAGCCCTGGTGGGTGGAGCCAGGGCCCTTGGGGAGGGACAGATGCCTGAACCCCCAAACAGAGAAGCTGGCCCCTCCCTCATTCTGTGACGAGGCTCCTCCCACCGCCCCCCAGACTGGGCAGAGCAGGGTCTCAGCTCCCCACTGATCGCTCCTCTTATCACTTCTTTCTCTAGCAAACTGAAGCCTTTCTACTCCACAGAGGAACGCAGTGAGCTGATGGATATCAGTATACACTCTGTAATTTCTCTCCAGCCCCCAGGAGAGAGCAATGAGTCCATTAAGGTAGGTCCCTCTGCTGTCACCTCATTTTCTGGGTGAGGACTTGGAAGTTGACGTGAACATGGGCAGTGCTGGGAGCCCACCGTCCTGGACCACCTGGGAGTGGTCAGGGCAGCAAAGTACAGCAGGCTCTTTCAGTAAGTGTAAGGTGATGCGAGCTGCTGCAACAGATATGCTCTGAAGTCTTCATAGTTTAACAAGATGACCCTTTTTCTCGCTCGAAGTCCAGCTGGCAGCAGAGGTGGAGAGGTGGCTGCTTCCCTGCGGTTGATCAGGGCCGTGGGCTGACAGAGACCCCATGGCTCCTCCGGTGGGCAGTGATACCCAGCCCCAGAGCAAGTCTGGAGGATTTATGAGCCTCTTGGCCCCCCATTATTGGCCAGAACTTGGTCAAATGGCTCCACCTAGCTGCAAGGCATCCTGGGAAATGCAGTCCCCGACTGGATGACTGTCTCCCAATAAGGTGTTGGAAGAGGAGGACAAATCTCTTGTGAACAGCGGCCATCTGTGTCTCCAGGTCCTGGCCCTGGATTCGAGGGGTCAGGAGAGCTGGGCTCTGGGAGTTCAGTTTCCTCCTTTGCAAAATGGGTTCCTCTTGAGTTTGTCTTATTCGTCACATAAGGAGCGTAAAGAACTCAGTCTGAGCAGAAGTCAAAAGGAAGTTATCAGACCATCTCACAGTATTTGACCCTGGCGTGGGCCCACACAGAGTCCTGGCAGGTGGCTGTTCCCCCACTGCTGCCGAGCTCTCCCCTCTCTTGACCACAGACCCTGTATACGAACGCCCTGCGTGCCCTGGAGCAGCTGATGGAGGGCCTCATGCAAAGACACCTAGACCCCAAGGGGCTGCAGGAGATGGTGCACGTGAGTTGCCTGGAGGAGGGCCAGGAGCTGGTGGTGGTCACTCCTCCCAGAATGCTGGTCCGAGGGCCACACTCTCACTGGGAAACAGGCATCCATTAAAAACTGATTTGGTATTAATTTTCTTTAGACAAAGCTTCAAGCTGGCTGAAAAGTTGCAAGAACGGTACAAAGAAGTCCTGTATGCCTTTCATCCAGATCCACAATTCTTAATAGTTTGTGACATTTCAATATCACAAAATGTTCTTAAAAGCTGAAAGGTTGCAAGAACAGTACAAAGAACTCCTGCATGCCTTTCACCCAGATCCACAATTCTTAATATTTTGTGACATGTTCTTTTTCCCTTTTTTTTTCTCTTTACATTACATACATACATACACACACACACACCTTTTGAATCATGGAGAGTTAGCTATAGGCATCAACAACAAAAATCTTCTCTTATATAACAATATACTGTTCAAAATCACAGAATTTAACATTGATACCAAGCTGTAGTCTAATCGATTTTCCATATTCATATTTCACAATTGCCTAGTAATGACCTTCATAGTTATTTCTTCTGAGAACCAGGATCTAATCTGGATTATAAATTGCATTTAATTGTCTTATCTCTTTTGTCTCTCTGCTTCAATTTGGAACAATTTCTCAGTCTTTGTCTTTCATAATCTTGGTATTTTTGAATATAGTATTGCTAGGGCTTTTTTAAAAATTGGATTGTTTGCTTTCTTATTATTGATTTCTCAGAGGTTGTATATAATCTAGAAGCAAATCCTTTATCAGACATGTGATTTGCAAATATTTTCTCCTGGTCTGTGACTTGCCTTTTCATTAATTTCACAGGTTCTTTTGAAGAGAAGAAGGTTTTAATCTTGATGAATTCTAATTTATTATTTTTTCTTTTATGGATCATGCTTTTGGTATCATGTCTAAGAAATCTTTACTACCCAAGGTCATAAAGGTTTTCTCCTAGATTTTCTTCTAGAACTTGATAGTTTCAGGTTTTACATTGAAGTCTATGATGTATTTTCAGCTCAGTTTTGAAATATGGATCAAAGTTTAATTGATTTTAATTTTTTTGCACATGGATAACCAATTGTTTCAGCACCATTTGATGGAAAGGTAATCTCTGCTGAATAACCTTTGCATCTTTGTCAGAGATCAATTGACCGCGTATGTGTGGGTCTATTTCTAGATACCTGTTCTGCTCTACTGATGTTTTTGTCCATCTTTACACCAGTGTCATCCTGTCTTCATTATAATCCTGTCAGCATTATAGTAAGTCTTGAAATCAGGAGCAGATAGTATAAGTCCACTGACTCTGTTCTTTGAGGCTATACCCCACAAATATCGACATGTTGTGTTCTGATTTTATTTTAGTTTGACGATGCATTTTCATTTCTCTTTTGACTTCTCCTTTGACCCATGGGTCATCTAGAAATTTCCAAATACTTGAGAGTTTTCCAGAGACCTTTTTGGTTTTGATTCTAATTTAACTCCACTGTAGTCTGAGGACATACTTTGTATAATTCAAAGCCTTTTAAATCCATCGAGACTTATTTTGTTGCCCACGTGTGGTCTATCTTGGTGAACGTTCTGTGTGTGCTTAGGAAGTATTTTGCTGCACTGAATGATATGTTCCTAAATATCACTTAACCAGCTCTTGTTGGAAGTGTCCAAGTTTTCTATATCCTTCCTGATTTTGTCTTCTCTGTCATCAGTTGCTGAGAAAGAGGTACTGACATCTCTGTCACTGTGGATTTGTTTGTTTCTCCTTGCAGTTCTATCAGTTTTTGCTCCCTGTTTTGCTAAGCTGTGTTGTTAGGTGCAGGAGCTGGAGTGCAGGATGGACTGTGCTAGTGGCATTTTCACCTACAGGCAAACACTTGGAACAAACCCAAACTCATCAGCCAAGCACCAGCTTGGTGAGGATGTTGGCATTGTTCTTTGTTTGCTCATGGCCTCATCTCCCTAGTGGCGGGGGCGGGGGGACCTGGGAACCTCCCAGAGCTTTGAAAATGAGGCTCTGAGTAGGAGAGAGGAGAGCAGCAGCTGGCCAGGAAAGGCTGACCTCGGGATTTTAAAGTCCCCTCTGTGTTCTGGGCTCTCCCCATAGCTCCTGGAGAAGTGGATCTTGTCGGAGAAAGAATGGGAGCGGGAGAAGGCGGTGAACCTCCATCTCCATCTCATGCAGATCTATGTCCAAAGCATCGGTGTCTGCGTGAGTCCCGGAGACCCACCCCCTACAACCTGCCCCGCTGACACCCACAGGAAAATTCCAGTCTCTATCCCAGGAGAGGAAACGCCTCTGAAATCCAGTTCTGTCCCTGGAGAGACCCTCGGGAAGAGGCTGCCTCACTGGGGAAAGTCGAAGGAGTCCCAGGGAGAGCTGGCCCTGGGCCTCCTGGGTAGTGAGAGAGGATGGGCAGGGCTTGGTGTGGATCTGGGTTTTGAGGGGCCTGAGGTTCATACCTGGGTGAGGGCCCTCCTTAAGAGAATGGGGCACATGATTATGAATACCACATTGATTAGGAAAGTATTTACTTAGAATGAGAAAATGAATCACTACAAAATGACAAATTTTACAAAGCTTAACAAATACCACGACATCGCAAAATCTAGAAAAGCAATGAGGTTTTTTGGTGATGAAGCCTCTGACATGGCTCCACAAGCCCTCTCTTCCTTCCTTTGTTGGCCTCCTACTCTTTGGCTGTCTGGTCTTCATGGGTGGCCTTGGGAGGAGGGCGGTGGGGTCTTGGGGCTGGGGCACGGTGAGGACAAGATGGGGCGGGACCCCAGTCCTGGAGCACCATCCAGGTGGGACCCAGGCCCGGCAAAGCCAACCTGTGGCCGAGCCGAGCGCTGAGTAACTAGGTGCTGCACAAAGTGCTTCACCCGGACTCTCTGTCGTGAGTCTCACAACGCTCCCTGAAAGATGCGGCACCATTATTGTTGAGGCAGTGTGAGTGTGGTTAGAAAAGACTTTCCAGACACACAGCATTTCAGAAGAGAGGGAGTTTATTAAGAACGAATTGCAGAGATAATGTGGACCCTGCAAGCACAGTGGGCCAACCTGCTGACAGACTGGGGAGACTCAACAGTTTTCCTGGGTTAGTAGTCAATTTTTATAACCTCAAGACAGAGAAAATTCCTGCAGGAAGGTTGGCATTAGGGCGCTATAGAGTGACTACCAGGGTGGGCATCTTTGCCTAATTTGGGGTCAGGAAGCCTGCTGGTGATGATCATAGGAACTTTGGCAATGTTACAAAGGGGCTTAGTCAATTTCAGAGGTGACCTTGGTTCTTGGCTCTGCTTCTGTGGCCTTGGTACAAGGCTTGCACCTGTGGCTTTGGAGCAGGACTCAACAATAATCATCTCTGAGTAGCAGACAGGAACAAGAGGGCCTGAGGCTAAGTCCCTCCCCAGGTCACACAGCTAGAGAGTGGGGAAGCCCAGATTTGAAGGCAGGGCTCAGTTATAGAAACAGGGCAGGCACCTAGACTTAGCACCTGGGCCTGGGTCATGGGGCAACATCCTAGCTGCTCAGCCTCCCGGGGCCCAAGCTGGGGGGCCTGGAGACGGAAGCTCGGGCTCAGACAGATGGTGGCATCCTCTCCCTTGCCCAACAGGGGTGCTTTCAGAGCAGGGTTCACTCTCTTTGGCCCCTGGTTGCACTGCCCTCGGGCATCACCAGGTGAGCTTGGCTGGACAAAGGGTGTGAACTCTGAAGTCTCCTCTCCCTCAGATCCCACTGAAGCTGGGGCAGTTTGGCAGCCTGGTGGGACTCATTGCACCAGGCACCTGTGACTCACACAGAAAAACCCGCCTGGCCTCCATGGATGTCCTGGCCAGCCTGCTGGATCTTCACGGTACGGGAAGGGTGGTACGAGTAGGCAGGACCCGGGCTCTCCAGGCCGAGAGGGAGGACCAATATCAGGGAGTCGGCTGTGGGGCTATGCTGGAGGGCGGCAGGGATTGTGGTCTCTCTGTAGACAAGCAAGGGTGACCAGCGGGGGAGGGGGGTGCAGAGTTCACTGAGAGGTCATGGAAGCTTCTAGAAGGAAAGGCTTATTGGGTCAGCATGATTCGCTGAGGGCACAAGAGGGGCCCACTGGACAGGATGCCTCACAGATACTAAGGATGCGGTGGAACTGGCCAGAAGCGAGCTCAGAGGGGAAGGCAGTTGGGGGACCTTCAGGGTGGGTTTGCCTCTGGCTTGGCAGCTGGCAGAATGCCCATCTGAGCTGTGCAGAAAGATGGTTCCAGGGGCCAGGCAAGAGGGGTGGGATGTCCAGATACTGGAGAGGAGTCCAGGCCCAGGGAACCAAGGCAACCCAAGGGGCGGGGAGGTGGGAGGGTTGGGTTGGGGGGGCGGTCAGGAAAGGCAGCCACTGTGATGTGGACCCTTGGTTCTGGACAACCGTGCCTGACATTGATTGTATCCCACCAGCAAGCCAGACCTGCTCCTCCTGGGGCGCCTCCAAAGAGCTGGAGCTTGAGAAATGTAAGGAGGACCTGCAGGGCTCAGACATGGAGAAGATTTTCGGGGTATCCTCCAGAATCGCCAAGGTGATGATCGGGAAGGCTGTGCGGGCGTGGCCTCCGGGTGCCTGGGCCGTCTCTGGGGGCGGGGCCAGGCTCCTCCTGATGGTCTTCCCTGGGTCTCCCACAGCCCTTGGTCCAACGCAAGTCATGTGTATTAAAGTGGCCTGTGATATGTACAGCCCCCACTGTGGCGCCTGGCACACAGTAGGTGCGTCACAGACGCCAGCTGTCTTTCTTTGTCCATATCATGTGCCACCCTGAAAGAACTGGACAGGGGGCCGTGGACCTCCAGCACGACAAGGCCTCTGTCACCTGGATATGCAGCCCACAGGCAGACTGCACCCAGTGACTGCCAGTGTCCAGGGCCGCCGGGGGCGAGGCCTCTCTGCCTCAGGGGCCAGAGGACACTCCCAGGGAAGGCCGCAGGGCCATAGGGGCAGGCCTGGGAGGGTCTGGGGAGAAGCTTCCTGTGCCGGGTCCAGAGGGGTGGGGGCAGGCGACGGGGTGAGGGAGGGGTTGGCGAGTGCCCCCCAGGCTTTGATATTGAGTGATCTCCAAGCCGGCCCGTGATTGACAGGGCCGGAGGCTGGGAAGGGGGCGAGAGGAGGCTGCGGCCGTGGTTTGCGGGAAGATGGGGGCTGGGCTGGGCTGCGACCCTGAGCAGAGAGGGGCAGGCAGGGGAGCCCTTGGGCTTGGTGTCGGACCCAGGAACAGCCAGCTCTGGCTCTAGGTGGCCTGCTTGCAGTTCAACTGCGACGAGGTGGTCTCACTGGTCCAGAAGCTCTGCGAGAACTTCGGGGCCATGGACCTCCAGCACGACAAGGCCTCTGTCACCTGGATATGCACCTTCCTCCAGATGCAGGTCAAGGAGCTGGAGGACAAGGTAACAAGGGCCCCCCAGGGCCTGGGGCTGCCTGGTGCGTCCAGCCTAGAGGGCCAGGCAGAGGGGCCCAGCCTCGCTTGCTAAGGGCTCCCCACCATCCCCAAGTCTGTGATTATAAAGAGGGGGAGGAAGTCGGGTTCTGGAAGGGGAAAGAACCTGTTGGAGGAGGCTTGGTCAGTGAGTGGACTCTGGGCTGGAGGCCTGAGGCTGGCCCTCCTGGAGCGCAGCACCTCTCATGCTGAAAATGTGATAAAATCCCCGAAGAGACCAGAGGATACCTGGGAAGGGGTTGAGCTGTGCCCAGCCACTGACAGGCTAGCTTGCCCAGCGTCCACTTGGGCAGGAGGAGGGGTGTGCGGTGGGGAGAGGGCAGGGGGCCCCAGAGGGCCAGGCTGCCCGGTGATGCCCGTCCCCCACCCCCAGGTGGCCGAGATTCTGGGCGCCATCCTGGTGCACCTGCCCGTGGTGGACCACCGGGAGGTGCGGCGCCTCCTGATCGAGGGCATCCTCCTGCTGGCCCACTACCACCAGGAGACTGTCCTCACGGTGCTCCTGCGGCAGCCCCTGCCCATGGAGAGGTGGGTGCTCGAGTGCGGGGCCATGGCCCCCCATGACCCCCAGACCAGCCCACCACGGACACGTCCCAGGAGCCCGGGGCCTTGAGCGGTGCCTCGTCTGACCTGTAGCGGGGGGAGGGGGTGGTCAGACACCCCCACTGCCCCTTGCATCTCTGTGGGTGGTACAGCCTCTGGGAACCTCGGACCTGGAGCCTTGACGCTCCAGCTCCCTCCTATCGAGCTGGAGTCTGGATCCCACATCTCACGGGTCCTGGCTGCGCCCTCTGGGCTCTCCCCTCGACAGCCCTCTCCTTCCTGCAGAGGACAGAGCTCTGGGCCAGACAGACTGCAGGACGTGGTCCCCAGGGCCCAAGCAGACCTCTGGAGAAGCTCCACTCGGCCCTTCCCCCTTTCCAAATGGGGCCCCGAGAGGGAAATGACCCAGGTGCCCAAGGGGTGAAATGACAGCCCCCAGGCTCTCAGGTGGCCTCACAGGGAAGCAGGGCAAGCCTTCCTCTTCATGTTACCTTGGAACTGCACCCAGCCCCCTTGTCTGTGTCACGGCATTGGGCAGGCAGCTGGAAGGAGTGAGTGTGCTGGGATCGAACTGGTATATACTGGGGAGGGCCCAGAAAGAGGGGGTAAGGTGTCCCCGGAGCAGCAGAGACCAAGGAGTGAAGGGCAGCCTTGAGGCTTGGTGGAGAGAGACCTGGCAGATGCTGGGAGGAGACAAAAAGAGAGTTTCGAGCACAGGTGTCAAACGTGTGAGACGCAGGCCTGGCCCCACGTGCTGCTGCTCCTCCGAAGGGCAACCTTTCCCTGGGTCCAGGTAGGAGGGCATTGCCGTGCAGGTGGCGCGCTTTAACGAGAGTTACGCCTCTCAGAGCAGGGCTGGGCCGGGGCCTCTGGCAGGCAGGCTTTCACTGTATTAGTTAGCTATTCCTGCATAACAAATTGCCTCCAGCTTGGAAACTTGGAACAACAACTGGTTATCATCTGGTTTCTGTGGTCAGGAGCTTGGGTGTGGCCAAGCCGGGGCTTTGGCTTAGGGTCTCTGATGTCTCAAGGTGTCAGCCCCTCTGCGTTCTCTCCTGGAGCCCAGGGCCGCCTTCGAACTCATGCGGCTGTTTCTTGAGTTAGAGGACTGAGGTCCCCACGTCCTGGTTTCCTGCACTCCTGTGGCTTCTTTCTGAGTTGATTTTAACGAGCGTACTGTGCCCCCGCTTCTATTCGGTTCCTGCCATCAGGCCCCTGTCACATTTTCCCCATCCTCGACAAAACTCACTTATCTGCACTTAGGCGTTTGGATTTGGGATTCGAATAGGCAGGCTGATCCTGATGGATTCATGGCTTTAGCCCTTCAGTGCCCACCAGGCCCCACCTGCCTGTACCTGTGTGTGTGCAGAGGCTCATTAAGTCACTGTCCCCCCCGATTCTCAGCAGGGCTGCGGGCCTGGACTTGGGGTCAGGAAGGCCGCTCCAAGCTGTAGTGTGGCAGCTTCCCTGACCTCCTCGGGCGGCATTTCCTCTTCTGTGGAAATGGAGACAAAGGCTCCTTCCACATAGACGTGTTGGGAGGAGGAGTGATAGGTATCAGCAAGCTGCCTGGTGCTGGCCTGACATGCCTGGGCACTGGGGGGCTATGACCGGACGTGTCCATGAAGTCATCACACAGTCGGCCCGGTGGGGACTCCTGGGTCCCCTAGCAGCAAAGCTGGGCCTTCCAAGAGAGAGAGAGAGGGAGGGGAGAGAGAGAGGGGGCCGGGGCTTCCCGGGAGCACCGTGGGCAGAGGTGCGGGGCAGGACCCGGCCTCTGGCTGTGCAGCCTCGGTGGTTCACCCACCTCCCTGAGACCCTACCTCCAGGGTCCAGCCCCTACTCCAGGGGCTGCCCAGGGGTCCCTGGGGGTCTCTGACTTGCCAGGGCACATGACCCCAAACCCACAGTCCTCATCCCCTGTCTCTGGCTAGCCACCTGACGGAGGTGTGGCTGGCTGTGGCCGAGAATGTGCCCTTTGCCCGGACGATGCTCCACGCCCTGATGGGCCGGCTGCAGGCGAGGTTCACGCCCAGGGCCAGCGCCGCCTCCAAGGCCGACATCTGGCGCCTGGCCGCGGTGGACCCTCTGATGGTGAGGCGGGGGGCGGGCCCGCCTCGGGGGCTCAGTGAGACCCCTGCCACCTCTGGCTCTCGTCTCTGCAGACGCTGTGCACCACCCGCCTGCTCGTCGAGAGGATGGACTGGGACAACGGGCTCCTGGATCTCTTCCCGGACCTCCTCTACACGCTCCTCCTGCAGCTGGGCAGCAGCCAGGGCCAGGAGCCCGTGTCGCCTGTCCTGAAGACGTGGAGACTCACCCACACGGGGACCCTCCCTGAGGAGGTCAACCTGCAGAGGTGCGCTCGAGGGTGGGAAGGTGCGGTGCGGTGAGGCTGTGGGCCTGGGCTGGATGCAGCCACTCGACTGGGGACTTGCCTGGCAGTCCAGTGGCTAAGACTCTGAGGTCCTAATGTAGAGGGCCCAGGTTCAATCCCCAGTCAGGGAACTAGATCCCACATGCCGAAACTAAGATCCTCTGAAAATGAAAGTGTTCATTGCTCAGTAGTGACCAACTCTTTGTGACCCCATGGACTGTATTTAGCCCACCATGCTCCTCTGTCCATGAGATTCTGTCATACCCATACTGGTGTGGGTAGCCATTCCCTTCTCCAGGGGATCTTCCCAACCCAGGGCTTGAACCCAGGTCTCCCACATTGCAGGCAGATTCTCTATTGTAAGACCCTGTACAGCCAAATAAATAAATGTTCTTAAAAATAAAAGTCACTGAACTACAAGTGTCACCTCCACTGATAGGTCCTTGTTTTCCCTTCCTGGTGGGGAGGAGAAATTTCTGGAAGCTCAGCTTATGACCCTCCTCGTGTGGGTCCAGCACTGTGTGGTTTTCAGAGTTTGCAGACCCACTGTCTCCCATGGCTGCTCTTAGGCCCTGAGCAAGTCTCCCTGCTTGTGTTGGGTGCCCCTTCACGGGCCTGGGTGCGGAGCTTACCTAAGAGCTTATTGAAGGCAGGGTGGGTGCTCCCAGTAGGGCAGCCTCACCCTCACACGGCCCCATCTTCTTCCAGGGTAACGATCAGATCCATGCAGCTCTTGTTCAGGAGACTCAACAGTGAGTCTCTTCTTTGCACCCTAGAGGAGCAGGGCATATGGATGCTTCTGGAGAGCAGCTCAACATTCCTGCAGGGAGTCAGCCAGCTGGCCAGGTGGGTGCCCGGCTCCCCGGGGCTCCATCGTCTGGCTGGAAAGTCTGGGCCTCGTGGCTAAATGCCTCACTCCAGGTGTATGTTGGGGGTGAGGGTTGCGGGGGGGCGGATTGCCATGTTGACCCGCATCCCAGACTCTTGAGTGGCAGGAGGGTGCAGGGCAAAGGAAATCTTTTCTTCCAGCCCTTCCTGCTCCAAGGCACGAAAGCGAGGTCCCAGGTGGATGGGGTGTGCCCAGGGTCACAAAGGGCTTCCGAGCCAGGCCAGGACAGCAGGACCGGGAGTTCCTTCCTGGGTCTAGACCCTCATTCTGGTCCCCTTTTTATAAAGGGGAGACCTGGGTTCGATCCCTGGGTTGGGAAGCTTCCCATGGAGAAGGGAGCAGCTCCCCACCCCAGTCTTCTTGCCTGGAGAATTCCGTGGACAGAGAAGTGGGCAGGCTACCGTCCATGGGGTCGCAGAGTCGGACACGACTTGCACTTTCACTTTTTATAAAGAGCAAGTGGAGGGTCCGTACTTCAGTGACTCCCTGACCTGGGAGCCCCACCCCGGGCACCCTGCTGCAGAGCGGCTGTGCTGGGCAGGAGCTGAGAAGCCCCTTTCGTGGTGCCGTTCCTGCAGGCTGTGCGTGCGGAGCCCCGAGGGCTACTACCGGCAGAGGCTGTCGGAGCTGGCGCTCAGGGGCATGGCCTCGGAGGCCCTGAGCTGCCGCATCAGCAGCACGGCGGTCTGCGTGGAAGTGAGGCCACGGCAGGGGCTGGGCGGGGTGTTGGGGGGCCGGGGCGCGGGCGCTGGCGAGATGTGGGGGTGGTGCTGGGCAACCCCCCGGGCTGTCTTGGGGCCTCATCTCAGGGCAGGCACGCAGGCTCTGAGCCCGGGGTTGGAGGGACAGGTGAACATCCCTCATGCCTGCCTCTATTCATTCATCAAGCGCATGATTCAAGGCGAGCACCGAGGGGAAGCAGTTGAGACCAGCCCTGTGCCCTGTAGTCCAACCGCCAAGGGCTGCGTGATGCGATGAGCGCCAGCAACCCGGGGCCAGAGGAGGGCTTTCCTGGGAAGGCCGGGTGGAGGGCTCTGAGAGGCGAGCTAGGCTGAGCCAGGCAGGAAGGCCCAGAAGGGGGGTCAGAGCTGCTGATGCCCAGCTACCCTTCCTTATGGGGTCCTGAGGAAACTGGCCAGAAAACTTTCGGGGGAAATCTTGATGGCTCTCTGACACCTAGGGTGTCATGGGAACCAATCTTCGCCCTAGGGCGGGGCTGGCAGACTTGTTCTGTAGAAAGCTTAAGAATCAGTTTTCCATTCCAGGGTCACCCACTGGGTATTTAGTTTTCTTAAGGTTTATAATGGGACTTCCCTTGTAGCACAGTCGGTAAAGAATCCACCTGCACTGCAGGAGACCCAGGTTCGATTCCTGGGTCGGGTAGATCCCCTGCAGGAGGGCATGGCAACCCACTCCAGTATTCTTGCCTGGAGAATCCCATGGACAGAGGAGCCTGGCGGGCTACAGCCCATGGGATTGCAAGAGTTGGACATGACTTAGCAGCAAAACCACCACCACCAAGGTTTATAAAACACACGTGCACCCAGGCATGCCACAGGGCTCACCGTGGTCCCAAGGGCCCAGCATTTTGGGTGCGAGCCCAGGAGTGACCGCAGGAGGCCCAGGGGAGTGGAATCCGTGCATCTTGTGCATTTCTGCTCTGACTCAGCGGGCGTGGCTCTTGCACACCATGGCTGCTCCCATCACGTTAAGGGAAGGAACCGATGATAAACAGGTGTGTTCCTATCAATAACACTCAGCTAGGATTTCCCCACGTATTTCCGCATCGGAGCCCCACAGCGACTCCATGAGGCAGGTACTGCTGTCACCCTTTTTACAGGTGAGGAAGCTGAGGTTCCGAGGGGTCCAGGGACTTGCCAGGATCCCACAACTGGCGGCAAAGGAGCCCAGAGCCCGTCCTGGGAGGCGGAGCTCCGCATCCTCTCCTGTTCCCAGGGACGCCGCTCTGGGCATCGAGTCGCATCACCTGTCCCGTTTTCAGGCTGAGGAACGAGAGCCTCTCTCAGGGGTGACTGTGAACAGTTCTCCTTTCCAGGTCATGAGTGACCCGATCCTGCACCAGAAGAAGCTGCTGAAGCGGGCGGTGCTGATGCTGGAGAAGGGTGCGGAGCAGGAGGACGAGGTTCTGAGGGTGCTCTCCCTGCGCGCCCTCGGCAACATGGCCCTCGGTGCCCCCAGGAAGGTCCGCGGGGGCCGGGGCGGGGGCCGGGGGTGAGGGGCCCATGGCGGCGTGTCCCGGGCAGCCAGGTGGGGGCTGATGGCCCCGTGTCCCCCAGGTGAGGCAGTACCGGAAGCTCTTACTGGAGAAGTGCCTGAGTTCCCTGCGGGGCCCCGGCGTGAGCACCAGCGTGACCTCCGAGGGCCTGGAGGTCCTGGCCAAGGTCTTGGTCGAGCTGCGGGAAGGGGACCTGGGGTCCGCCTTCAACGCCATCTCCGAGCAGTGCACAGCCTTCTTTGACAACGTGAGTCCACACTGGCGCCTTGCTCGGCCCTGGCCCTCATGGGGGTCCCCACGAATGGCTGCTCAGTAGACAGGTGGCCACTGTTCATCCCGTAAAATGAGAGAGGTGCCCTGGAATGAAAAGGGGTGCAGTTCCGACTTGGCTGATATATCGATTGGCTGATCACGGGGGCTGGTTAAAAAAAAAATCTTGTTCTAGGGCCCATGGGACCCTCTTCCGCTGACTTTAATTCCTCACAGTCACAAATGTTCTTTGGACACCGGTGATATGTGGGATGGGGACTCTGCTAGCTTCGGGTGGTAGGCGATCAGATCCAGCACAGCCCCCGTCTAGGCAAGAGAAGGTCACAAACACCAGAATACTGCCCAGTCCCCAGAGCCCTGCAGGAGACACTCCATCCTGATGGAATGATCCAGAAGGCTTTGCAGGCACCAAGGTGTTTAAGAAGGTCCACAGAGAATGGCTGGGGTTTTGTTGGGCTTCTTGCTTCCCATGTTTCAGAAATAGCTTGTCCGTCTTGGCTGCAGGAGAGTGAGCTGCTGCGTTTAAAAGCCTTCATCCTCTTCGGGAAGCTGGCACAGGTGGTCAGGATTTCCAAGAAGCATTTCTTCAAGCAGGAAGTGAAGAAAGCCTGGGTGCCCCTCATGCTACATTGCCAGGACCCCTGCTCCGATGCTGCCCAGGTGAGACACACCTGGGCTCTGTGGGCAATGCCCAGGGCCCGCTGTCCCCACAAGGAACATGTGCTTCGAGGCTGCTGCCCCAGCTCCTGGGGTGTCCCCCGCCGCCCTCAGTCTTCCCAGGACCCCAGAGGCCACCATCTGCTAGTTCCTCCCATCAGGCTGAGAAAGGGACCAGTCAAGACAACCCACAAACTGGCTGATTGAGGAGTCTCGGCTCTGTGAGGGGAAACACGGCGTACTTTCCTTCTTCTCCAGATGCCGTCACCAGCCGCCCTTTGTTCTGTCTTTCTGTCACTATTCGTGTCCGATGCTGTGACCCCATGGACTGCAGCACGCCAGGCTTCCCTCGCCTTCACTCTCTCCCGGAGTTTGCTCAGATTCACATCCATGGAGTCGATGCTGCCATCCAACCATCTCATCCTCTGTCACCCCCCTCTCCTCCTGTCCTCAGTCTTTCCTGGCATCAGAGTCTTTTCCAATGAGTCGGCTCTTCACATCAGGTGGCCAAAGTATTGGAGCTTCAGCCTCAGCATCAGTCCTTCCAGTGAACATTCAGGGCTGATTTCCTCCTTTAGGATTGACTGGTTTGATCTTGTGGTCCAAGGGGCTTCAGGCGTCTCCCCAACATCACCCCTGAGAGCATCGGCTCGTCTTCACTCAGCCTTCCTTATGGTCCAGCTTCCCCACTCATACAGGACCACTGGGAAACCACAGTTCTGATCATACAGACCTTTGCTGGCAAAGCGATTTGCCTCTGCTTCTTAATATGCTGTTTAGGTTTGTCATAGCTTTTCTTCCAAGGAGTAGGCGTCTTTTAATTTCATGGCTGCAGTCATCATCCGCAGTGATTTTGGAGCTCAAGAAAATAAAGTCTGTCACTGTTTCTACTTTTCCCCCATCTATTTGCCATCAAGTGATGGGAACAGATGCTATGATCTTAGTTTTTTGAATGCTAAGTTTTAAGACAGGTTTTTCACTCTCCTCTTTCACTCTCATCGCGTGGCTCTTAAGTTCCTCTTCGCTTTCTGCCCATAGAGTGATATTATCTGCATATCTGAGGTGGTTGATATTTCTCCTGGCAATCTTGATTCCAGCTTGTGATTCATCCAGCCCAGCATTCCACATGTTGTACTCTGCATATAAGTTATTTAACAGGGTGACAGTATACAGCCTTGATGCACTCCTTTCCCAATTTTGAACCAATCTGTTGTTCAGTATCTGGTTCTGTTGCTTCTTGATCTGCATACAAGTTTCTCAGGACACAGCTAAGGTGGTCTGGTATTCTCATCTCTTTAAGAGTTTTTCTTGGTTTGTTGTGATCCACAGAGTCAAAGACTTCCCTCGTGTCTCAGACAGTAAAGAATCTGCCTTCAATGCAGGAGACTCATGTTTGATCCCTGGATTGAGAAGCTCCCCTGGATAAGGGAATGGCTACCCACTCTAGTATTCTTGCCTGGAGAATCCCATGGACAGAGGGGCCTGGCGGGCTACAGTCCATGGGGTGTCAAAGAATAGGACAGGACTGAACTGATTAACACTTTCATTATCCTCACTGCCTTCTATCAAAAGTTCACAGTCCTTTCATGTTTTATTAGCAACTCTCCTGGTGGCAGGGCTTCAGGGAAGAAAGTGATGGCCTACCCCAAAAGGGAATGAGAGGCTTTAATGAAGAAGCCACAAAGAGGAGAGGCCAGCACGGCACAGGGCCCCCATGGGTGCTGTTGTCCCTCCTGCTCCAGGGGGAGCAGACACCCCAACCCCCTTCCCTGCCCTCCATTCCAGTACCTTCCTGTGACCCAACCCCAGCAGAGTCCACGACCAGGGGGCCTGGATACTGCAGGGGACGGGGACAGGGAGAGCTGGGGAGAGGGGATGGGGGGGTGCAGGCAGGCCCCCACACCCCAGGCTCCTGGAGGGGTAGGTCCCGGCAGGGCTGCTGAGGGCACCCAGTGCTGGCCAGTGGCTAAGGGGGCCATGGGGCTGCATCTGCACCCGTGCGGCTTCTCAGTAAACGTGCCCAAGGTGTCTCACGGGCCAGTAGGGCTTGGGCCCCAGGCAGCCCCCTGGGGCTCATCAGGGGGGCTTCCTGAGGCCTTTGGGGGGCTGCCCTCTAGCTTACTGTGGGATGCCAGCCCCCCCACCCCACCCCTCGGTGAACCCCGGGCCCGCCTGACGCCTCTCCTGCCTTCCCGTCCTGCGTCCTCCAGGCCTGTGTGGCCACCCTCTTTCAGTGTCTGCACTGCTGGGGCTGGAGGGCCCTGGAGAGCTCCGCGGACCACAGTGACGCCACCGCCCCCAAGGAGATGACCGGTTTCCAGATGACTCTGTGCTCCGTCCTGGTGAGGAAGCCGAGGCAGGGGACAGCCCCGGGGGCTTGGGGCTCCATCCTGTGATCCTGTGAGACAGGAGGTGTTGAGACCAGCTTAGTCCAACAGAAAGAGAATGCAAACCACACACCCATCTTTAAGATTTCTGTTGAAAAAAGTAAAAAGAGGTGAAACCAAATTTAATAATAGGTTTTATTTAACCCAGTAGTTCCAAATCATTGCCATTTCAACAGGCAATCAATAAACAATTATTAATGTAATAGTTTACCTCTTTGGGATAATGTCTTCAGTATCCAGGAGGCACTTTACACTTAATTCAGACTAGCCATGTTGGTTGGATTGCATCATTGAATCCCTGGACTTGAGTTTGAGCAGACTCTGGGAGATAGTGAAGGACAGGGAAGGGGAAGCCTGGTGTGCTGCAGTCCATGGGGTCACAAAGAGTCGGACAAGACATAGTGACCAAAAGAGAAGAGTAACGGAAACCTGAAGGTCCTTAAGTTGCCTATCTGCTAATCTGCTGTGTGGCTTTGGCATGAGCACCTGCCCTCTCTGGGCAGACCCTCTAGCATCAGACAGACGGGCATCTGTGAGCAGATGAGCGCCGTCTGTGAGCAGCCAGTCTGCACGACCTCCTCTTCCATGGTGCTGGGTGTCACTTGTTTTTTGCAGACTCAGAAAAAGCCTGCCATTCTCTACAACTTCTTGCTAGAAACAATGACCTATGTTAAAAGCAACTTGTCAAGGATCAGAATCGCTGCATGTAACTTGGCAGGTGAGCTGGCAGGTCTCCTGATGCAGGAAGGACCTTGAAGACCATCTTGTCAGACCCAGGTCTGGAGTAGGGACAGGTATTGGGACGCAGGTGCAGGCAGGAGCCCACCGTGTGTGTCCCATGGCACTTCATACCTGCCCGATGCTGAGCTAGACGTCCTGAACTAAACACTTAACAGAAACTCTCATCAGGTGAAATGAAATCTCTCACTGACCTAATATTCATATGATGGGCATCTCTGACTATCATTTTAGGAATTATTATGAAGCAGATGTCTGCGCATTACCTGAAAAAGCTGGATTTTCCAGCATTACGGAATTGTAAGTAGTGGAGATACAAGTGTGAGTCAAAAATGAGTCCACCCCTCTCATTTGGGAGCTTAGGAAACCCCGGAGGGGAGAGTCAGCTGACCCTGGTTGCACCTGGCTTGGGGTGGGGACGGCCAGGGCCCAGAGAGGGGGTGAAGCTGTCTCTCTAGGAAGACAGCCCTGGCGGTTCCCTGTGCCCCCTGCCTGCTCCCTGTCATACGCCTTGATGCCTCCGGCGGGTCCACACAGCAGTTGGGGCCTGGGGGTCATCATCCTGTCCCTGTTGAAGGGACGAAGTCCCCAGGGATGGGAGATGCATGTGGACACACGACTGACCTGCCATCTTCCAAATTCACACTCCGGGCGGGGACGAAGTTCAAAGCCCCATGAGCCCCTCGCCCCACAGTCAGCTCTCATCAGCATTGCCCAGGGCCGGCGGAGGACGAGGGCCTGGCTGCAGGGTCCCCATCCTCCTCCTCGCACGCTCCCTCTCAGCTCTCCAGGAGCTACAGCTGGACTCAGATCCTGGGGTTTGGAGGGCAGCCCTGGAGACTCTCAACATCTTGGATACCTGCAGTCAGCAGCGGCTTTTGGCTTCACCTGAAGGAATCGCCTAGGTGGTCCAAGCACAAAACGTGCCTGCCTTTCTCCTGGGGGCCAAGCCCCACTGTAGCACCGCGAACCACTTTTAATTCCGTTTGTAAGAAAAAGTATTGTACTTAGATAATCAGTGCCCCTTTCTTTCCTCCCCTTGAAATAAACCTCCCTAGCTATTTGGAGAGCAGATTCCTGACTGCAAGGAGATGATGCCTCAGAGCTGAGACAGTGGGATGAAAGGACATTTCAGTCCTAGCGGGGATTTCAGTCCTGTGTCCCCTGAGTGTGTGTGCATGTGCGTGTGTGCATGTGTGTGCACGTGTGTGTCTGCACGCGCGTGCGTGTGTGCGTGCACACGTGCATGTGAGTGTGCATGTGTATCTGCGCGCGTGTGCACGTGTGTGCGCGCGCATGTGTGTGCGCGTGTGTGTGTGTGCACACGTGAGTGTGCGTGTATGTGTGTGTGTGCATGTGTGCATGTGTGAGGCCAGTGAATCTGGGGTCCCCTTTGTGTCTTCACTGCATTTCAGTTCCTCCCACGTGGATGCTGTGTCCACTGCCAGGCTCTGTGCTGGGGCGGCCAGGGGAGCCCAGCTGCTGTCCAGCCCTGCTTCCAGGAGCCCCTCTCTTATAGGAAAAGGGGTCATCTCCCAGCGACCACAACGCACCGGGCTGAGGGAGTGCGGCCACCAGTGAGGGCTGTGCTGGTGCCCGTGCCCAGGGTGTGACTCAGGGCCTCTGGGCGGAAGTGACACCGCACCATCCACCCTTGTCTCTTTCATATCATGGTCCACTGGGCCGGGATGGGAAGGGATGCAGCGAGGCCTGGAGCAGAACCCATGAAGGGTCCAAGGGAGGAATTACCTTCAAGTCCAAGAAACAGGCAGGGGGAGAAGGCAGGGAAACTCCTCTTACGCTCATGCTGCCAGTAGGACAGTCTTGGGTTGTCCCCAAAGCAGATGAAGGTGGGATTTCCAAACCAGCCCCACTGTAACAGCCCAAGGTGGTCACCACCCTGGGTCCACGCATGGGAGGATTCCAAAGCAGTCCAGAAAGCCAACCTGCACTGCAGGTTGTGAGACAGCAGACTGGTCTCACACTCTTGGTGGTGCCCACGGAATAGACAATGAAGTTATTTCCTGCCAAGTGATGAAGATGGTGGCTGCTGGAAGACTCAAGTCCCAGTGACACAGCCGGAAAGGAATGTGCCCTTCAGTATAGGTCCTAGGGGAAGCCGTATGATTGCACAGTCAGGTCTCTGATCAATTCCATTCATGCCTGTGAAAACATTTCCAGATGGTTTATAGACCTAAACTCAGAAAGCAAAAATTTAAGACAATATAGTCATTTTGATCCTGAGAGTAGTGTAGGATGTCCTTTAAAAGTAATAAGAGAAACCAGTTAAAAATAAAGGATGAACTTTCTAAGTTAGAATATATCTTCTAGGACTTCCTTAGTGGTCCAGTGATTAAAATTCCAAGCTTCCACTGCAGGGAGCTCAGGTTCTGTCCCTGGTTGGGGAACTAAGAGCCTCATGCTATGCAGTGCAATTAAAAAAAAAAAAAAGAAAATTTCTTAAATAAAAATGAAAATACAACATATCAACATAAAAATTAAAAGTAAATTTATCTTCTGTACAATGAAATATTGTAAAGTTAAGTCACAAATGCAAGACGTTACTTGCAATTTGTATAAAACTAGGTTGGTTCGTATAAGCAGATTGGCAAACAGAATATACCCAAATCAGTAATACTGCAAATTAAAAAGACAGTGTCACAAGAGGATGCTTGAAAAGTCAGTAGGAGGATGGTTTGGAAAGTGACTGGGCTTGAATGAGGTCATAAGCGTGGGGTCCCCATGATAGGATTGGTGCCCTTTATAAAAGACACTAGGTAGCTCCTTCTCTCTTCACGTGACATAAGAAGGTAGGCGGCTGCAGACCAGGAAGCAGGTCCTCCCAGAGCCCAGCTTTGCTGATTCCTGGATCTCAGCCTTCCTCTCCAGAAGCAAAGTTCTGTTGTGTAAGTACCCGGTCTCTGGTGTTTTGTTATGGCAGCAGAGATGGATAAAACACTCAGGTGACGTTGCAGTGGAAAGCTGTGGGTGGAAAGGGAACATCCATACAGGAAGAGGGTCACCTCGGGTAGGGGGATGGGAAGGAAAGGTGTGCAACTTTAATCAACTTAAAAAACCACTACACACAGCAACGTATTAACAACCATTTACTCAGGATGTTGGTACATGGGTTTTGTCACTGTATTGTGAATATTTGCAATATTTTATTCAAAAGTTACTGTCCATTAAGTAAACTAAAAAGCTCTTGCACCACGAAGGAAACTATAAACAAGATGAAAAAACAACCTTCAGAGTGGGAGAAAATAATAGCAAACTAAACAACTGACGAAGGATTAATCTCCAAAATATACAAGCAGTTCCTTCAGCTCAATACCAGAAAAACAACTCAATCAAAAAGTGGGCAGAAGACCTAAACAGACATTTCTCCAAAGAAGACCCATTGATGACTGATAAACACGTGAAAAGAGGCTCCAACATCGCTCATTATTAGGGAAATTCAAATCAAAACTACAATGAAGTATCACCACACAGTCAGAATGGCCATCATCAAAAAAATCTACAAACAAATAAATGCTGGAGAGGGTGTGGAAAAAAGGGAACCCTCCTGCACTGTTACTGGAAATGCAACTTGATATAGTCACTATGGAGAACAGTATGGAGACTGCTTAAAATACTAGGAATAAAACTATCATATGACCCAACAATCCCACTACTGGGCATATACGCTGAGGAAACCATAACTGAAAAGGACACATGTACCCCAATGTTCACTGCAGCGCTGTTTACAATATCTAGGACATGGAAGCAATGTAGATGTCCACCGACAGATGAATGGATAAAGAAGCCATGGTACGTATACACGATGGAATATTACCCAACTACAGAAAGGAATGCATTTGAGTCGGTTCTAATGAGGTGGATGAACCTAGAGCCTGTTATACAGTGTGAAGTCAGTCAAAAAGAGAAAGACAAACATCACATATTAACACATGTATATGGACCCTAGAAAGATGGTACTTATGAACTTGTCTGCAGGGCAGCAATGGAGATGCAAACAGAGAGGACAGACTTGTGGACATAGAGGGGAGGAGTGGGTGGGATGAACTGAGAAAGCAGCATTGAAACACATACATCACCATGTGTAAAAGTAGACAGCCAGTGACAATTTGTTGTATGATGTGGGGAGCTCAAATCCAACATTCTGTGACAACCTAGAGGAGGTGGGACGGGTAGGTGGTGGAAGGTAGGTTCAACAGGGAGGGGACATACATATACCTATGGCTGATTTCATGTTAATATAAGGCAGAAAACAGCACAGTATTGTAAAGCAATTATCCTCCAATTAAAAATAAGTAAATTTTAACCGTCTGTATCTTATAATGACCTAGATGAGAAACTGTCTTTACAACTGAAAAAGATCAAAACAAGAATTAAAAAATTTAGATGTTGGGACATCCCTGGTGGTCCAGCAGGTAAGACTCTGTGTTCCTGATGCAGGGTGCTGCGGTCAGGGGACTAGATCCTACATACCACAATGAAGACTGAAGATCTCGCATGCTGCAATTAAGAACAGGTGCAGCCAAATAAATACATAAATATTTTTAAAAGGGATATTTGCATTTATTAAAAATTTTTTAAATGCTATGTGTATCCAAAAAGTAAACAAAATTAAAGGGTATACAAGTTTTTTTAAAAAAAGTCACTGTGATACTCTATTATAAATAGCTCCAATAAAAATCATGAGATGTCACAGGTGTTAAGTGGCCGTAGGTGTTTTGGGGCCATCACAGAACTATTTATGTTTTCATCTAAAAATATTAAGCTGTTTGGAATTTTATGGGTGAGTTGAACCATGATTGAATTTACCTCCTCCTAATATTGGAAGGTCTGATGCTGAAGCCGAAGCTCCGTTACTTTGGCCACCTGATGCAAAGAGCCGACTCATTGCAAAGACCTTGATGCTGGAGAAAGATTGAAGGCAAGAGAAGAGGGTGGCAGAGGATGAGATGGTTAGATAGCATCACTGACTCAATGGATATGAATGAATATGAGCAAACTCTGGGAGACAGTATTCTGGCCTGGAGAATTCCATGGACTGTATAGTCCATGGGGTCTCAAAGAGCTGGACACCACTGAGCAACTTTCACTGGGAGACAGTGAAGGACAGGGAAGGCTGGCCTGCTGCAGTCTATTGGGTTGCAAAGAGCTGGGCATGACTTAGAGACTGAATAACAATAACAAATATGGAGATGCCAAGTCCTGCTGGTCTGGATTTAAAAGACTAAGCAGCTGTACTTTCTTTCTAGGGCTTAAACCTAGGTTTCAGAGGAAACAACTTCTCTAAGGAAATAGGAAATGTAAAGGAGGATTTCTGGTCATGTCTAAATTTAACAAAAAAAATATGAGAAAAATAGGCCTATAAAGGATAAAGTTAAAAATTTTAATTGAGCAACTTTATTCAAATAATTTCCAAAAATCCAGAGTTATGTCAATGGAACCAATTTCATTGAAATTTGCTTTGAAGGGCAGATAAGTGAAGCAAGTTCTAGCATGTTCTTGAGAATTAAGAAATACACAAAAATCAGAGGGAATACTCCGAAATAACTTAGCAATAGATTTTCAACTTTGAGTTCTTCTGACATGAAATTATTTGTCTCTTCCATTCTGAAAGATGTGCCATTCTTTCCTCTAGGGGGAAAAACAAAATTGAGTACAATTTCACTAGAATTCCCAATGCCAGCCCCCCAAAGCTTAACTGTTATTTACTTGTGTTAGTCATTCAGTCGTGTCCAACTTGGTGAAACCCTGGAAACCACCAGGCTCCTTTGCTCATGTGATTGTCCAGACAAGAATCCTGGAGTGTGTAGCCATTCCCTTTTTCAGGGGAAGATATATTTACTCCATTGAATATACATGAATATTTGAGTCATTATAAATACCCTAAGGAATATAAAGGAAAAATAATAACAGTAGTTCCTCAAGCAGGCAGTGCAAACTGGTGGTGAAGACCATGGGCTTTCAATTCCTGGCCCAGCCATGCATGCCTGTATGGATTCAGGAGTGAAGACCACATTTCCTTGGGGATTTCTTTGGTGGCCCAATGGCTAAGACTCCACACTCCCAATGCTGGGGACCCAGTTCAGTCCCTGGTAGGGGCGCTAAGACCCCATGTGCCACAGCTAAGAACTCCCATGCTGACTGTCCAGGATCTCATGAGCTCTGGGTCTGTCTGGCTTCTCAGAAGTGACTTTGTGTTTAATTTCCCGAGGTCCATCATGCCCAACATAGTTTTTGTTGGTGGGACCAACTGCGCTAACAAAAAGCCACTCTCAGGTGTGTATTTGAGTGGGAACTTTATATACCTGTATTCTAGCAAGAACTTTTGAGTGGATGAACTTGTCATGGATCTGCTGAGACAGCCTCATTGATAAAAAGAAGAACTAGCAACGCCCATTGGACAGAATCTATCTAATCAAAGGGTTCAAGTGGTGCTTAAAGAAGGAGGGTGTAAAAACGGTCAACACAGCCTGGTGCATGGAGGCTGGGCTCACAGCTCATGAAGATTTGGCCCTTTTCCTCAAAAAATATATAATATTAAGCAGAGAACATTAAGTGGAGAGTCCCGTGGACTGCAAGGAGATCCAACCAGTCAATCCTAAAGGAAATCAGTCCTAAATATTCATTGGAAGGACTGATGGTGAAGTGGAAGCTCCAATATTTTGGCCACCTGATGTGAAGAACTGACTCATTTGAAAAGACCCTGATGCTGGGAAAGATGGAAGGTGGGAGGAGATGGGAATAACAGAGAATGAGATGGTTGGATAGCATCACCAACTCTATGGACACGAATTTAAGCAAGCTAAGTATTGGAGTTTCAACTTCAGCATCAGTCCTTCCAATGAATATTCAGGACTGATCTCCTTTAGGATGGACTGGTTGGATCTCCTTGCAGTCCAAGGGTAATAAATACCAAGAATACAAATGACTCATAGGCTTGGGAAAAAAATAGCCTTTAATTATAATGTTACTGACTAGGGTTTTGCCTTCCCCAATCAAGAGAAATTGACTAGAGGCCAGACAAGAAACTCAAGCAAGGCTTTTCTGGGGCCCCTGCTGCAGCAGGGCAGGGAGTGAAAACAGACAACAGTTTCCCTTGCTGGCTCTCAGCTGCGGGGATAGCTTACCCCTTATATGGGGCAAGGGTAGGGGTGTCCTGCCTACCCCTTAGGTAGAGCTGTGTGCAGGGGGCATTCGCAGTACCTACTTTTACTCCCAATCCCCTGCTTTCTGTGGTGGCTCAGATGGTAAAGAATCTGCCTGCAATGCAGGAGACTCAGGTTCGATCCCTGGTTTGGGAAGATCCCATGGAGAAGGGAATGGCAACCCATTCCAGTATTCTTGTTCCAAGAATTCCAAAGACAGAGGAGCCTGGCTCGGACATGACTGAGCAACTAACACTTTCACTTCACTTTCCCTGATTTTGCTCCAGGCTCTTCAAAAGTGGCAGTTAGAGTGTTTTGTTTTTTTTTTTTTTTTTTGCAGCTTTTGGGGCCACAACTGCTGCATACAGGCAGTTATTTTTAGTTCCATACAATTTCTTTGTATTTCCTTGCTCAGAGAAGAAGCCTGTCCAAGTGCAAGCATTGCTACACCGCAGCAACAGTCCCAGGTCCCAGCCTGTCTCCATAATAATAATAAAAGCAAATTTAAAACAAAATCCCACTTTTACCTATCAAACTGATACTGTCTTTTTTTCAAGATTATACTTTAGACTGAAGAAGGTGAGATCCTGGCTCTCTCAACACCGACCGAACCTCTCTGGACACAGTTTGGGACTATCTCAAACCATGCCCCACCCAGATCCCTGTGTTCTTATATCGTAGTGCACAGGGCCTGATCTCCCACACGGCATCTGCATTTCTCTCCCGTGGGCTCCCTCTGGATTTTAAAGCCCTCTTTCCTGCCCAGGGAAATGAATACCACCTGGGAGCAGGCAGTCACCAGCAGGGACAAGTGCTGGGACCCCCACGGGCCTTGTGCCTCCAACGGGATAAATCCACCATGTTTTCCGCCTTGGCTGCCGGCGGCAAGCCGCAGAATTCAGCTCCAGCTGCCCACAGAGAGCTGCCTTCTTGGTGGTCATCACTCCCCACCCTACTCCCCACTCCTCTTCAGGGTTTCCTTCCCTTTGCAAATAAACTGCTTGCCTGCGAATCCTCACATGAATGGAGCCAAAACAAATACAACCATTGATTTGTTGGAAGGGCCTTTCCCATGGAAACAGTCATGGATGTGTAGGTACAAAGACTTAGCTACTGGAACATTTAGTGATGTCTTTTTTATAAAGGAAAATAAAAGTGAATACACCTGGAAGTTGTGGTTATATAAATCCTGGTATATTCATGCAATAGAATTTTCCTTGGCCACTTAAAACAAATTAAATATTATATAAAGACCTGGAGAGAGCATTCATTCACAATAGGGTAAAGTGAAAGAAGAATGTGTTTTCTAAATTCTTCCTTCACTTTACCAATATACCAAATATGGTATATTTGCAATATTTTATAACTCCACGTATTTGCCAAAATAATAAGTGTGGTTATTTGCAGGGAACATGAGTAATGGTGACTTTAATTTCCTTGCACGTGTATGTGTACACCTTTTTCAAATTTTCTGTCAGAATCATGTATTACTTTTGTAGTTAGAACATGTAGTTTAATAATAAATAAATGCAACACCCATGAAGAGAACACCTAACAAATATAATTAACATAAATTTATTAATGCATTTTTAGTTATCACATCAGAAAAAATATACTTTCCAGTCACTATAATTTAGGCATCTTTCAAATTCAGATCTGTTTGGCACAAGCAATGATTATCTACTCAGGCACATCACCCACCAATTTTATACATCATTCTTTCCCCACTAAAGTCAGAAATCATACACTGTCTTAGAAGAACTCTATACCATTCATTCATAGCACATTAAGGACAAGGAAGAGACATCTCCTTATTTAGATGCACAGGGACATCTCTGAAGCATAAGCATAATTTAGAACCAGCCATTATTGGTGAGGGAATGTGTCTACAGATGCTGGATGCATTCCTGGGGGCAGGGGAAGGAGGACGCGGCTCCCAAACAGGTCCCATTTCTGAGTAGGAAAAGTATCAGGTTGAAGGAAGGACCTACCAGTTCTCTTAAGTCATCTAAAAGATGACAAGTGAAGTCCAGATTAAAGTACTGGAGGGAGTAGCAAAGAGACTCAAATCTCTCTACCTGTGCTTGTGACTAGGGATTGGATCACTTTTATTTTTCAAAACGCACTCTGGGGCGTCATTTTCTGGCAAAGCAGTTCCTGAGTAAGCATAACATGAATTTAACCTTTCTCTAGAGTTTCCAACTCAGTTCTCAGTGTGTCTTGGATTTATGAGATTTCTTCGCTTGCTCCTTCTTCCCAAAGCACTTCCGGAAGGCGAAGGCACAGGCCTTAAAGGTGATGAAGATGACTGTCAGCGCGACCGCCAGGAGGAAGCCAATCACATCCAGAGAGTGGTACTGGTACCAGGTGAGGTCATGGGCTGCAGGGCGCAGGTGGGGCGCCCCCTTGTGCCTCATCACAAACTCCACCCAGAACACAGCCAGGTCCAGAGGCTCTATGGGGCGGTCCTTGTGAAGTCTGGACAGGCGCATGATGTTTTCCTTATAGCTGAACACAAAGACACTTATGTGAATGCCTGGAACACCAGCAGTAGTGAACCATTCTCCCTGTATCCTTGCTTCCAGTTAGGAACGCTACCAGATTTTCCAAACGTGGTAGAGTTCCTGTCGTAATCAGACACACACACTAAATATTCTTCATCTCTTAAAACTGGAAGCCAAAATTTTAAGTTATTTGAAACTTGCTTCCTACTCATCTTCTTCTCTTTTTAGTGATATCCTTATAGGAAATTAGTCTTACTTTTTGGTAACAAGATGACGAAGTAAAGGAACAGGTCATCTCAGAAATTGTTAATGATTTCCCATTCAATGAGACTGCAAATAATCATTTCTAGCCAACGTAAAAGACATTTTAAAGTGCTGTGTCCAAGACAGTTATAGACTTTCAACTACTGAGGCATCAGACCATCTAAGTGCTAAATTTTGCATGAGGGAGTGTCTATGCAGCCTGTTAAGGAAGAAATGGGTTCCTGTTTATTTTGGACTGTGTGAACATCTGAGTCAATATCCAAATCCAAAATGAGTTTGATACTTCATCCCTTAGTATGGATGAACTAGAAGAAGAAAGAGAAAGAAAAGGAAGAGAAGGAGAAGGAGGAAGTGGCAAGGGAAAGAAAAGAGGGAAGAAACATAAAAGCAAGACACTTATTCAGGAGTGATTATGGTCATATCAGTCCTTAAACATGTCCATTATTTTATGTGGATACATTATTATAATGTACCATTAATATTTGGCCATAAATTCTGTCAAACATTTTCCTTTTATATAAATTGTCTCATGCAAAATAGATTTTCTTGGACTTTCACTCATTAATTCAGTATTTATTAAGCACCTGTTATGGCCTGGTTTTATAACCCTATGTTGGAAATTTTTCCACTTCTCTTTATGTAGATGCAGTCCCAGTTTAGAGTTTTGGGAACAAGGAGATTCACGTGAGATGGGTCAGAAAGGAATAAAGTTAGTAACTTGAACTCACTGATGAGTGTTTGTCTGTTTTTTTTTTAATAGTAATGTACCAGAGAACTTCTACCAAGTCACTTTTAGATTACAAGTAGTTGTCCATACCACTGAACAAAAGGTCAAAGTTACGTCACTAATACGAACCTCAAGAATGAGTTTCCAGCATATGGAAAGAAATCAGGCTTTAACTGTAGTGATGTGTGAGCAGCATGACCTAAGGCTGACAAGTTGGGCTGCCAGAAGCCAACTGAAATGATGGATAAGAACCACATCAACTGCTCTGCAAAGGTTGTTAGTAACACTGCGGGCACTTTACCCTGGGGTTATGTAGACAATTTTTTTTAATCAGAAGCATCACACACATGTGAGCACCATCATTTCTTGACCATTTTCCCTTGTCTAGGCTTGGTTATTCCCCTGTGTAGTGTCTCTTCCTATGTGAACACATTCCAGTCTTTTTATATCTGTCTTCCTGACCGACGTCTTCTTCAAAATGAAGAAACTATGGGTAAAGGTTCCTGATACTCTCGTAGATACATACACATACACACATATGCACGTATGTGCACATACATAACTGACTGTTGGATGAAGTCCACTCCTGGCCATAACTTCTTCCTATAAGGTTTTGATCAGCCTATTACTTGTAGCAATTGACAGCAATACAATAAAGTTCATGCAGAGATAATTTGATCTGATGGCTTTTGCCTATTGATTTGTTTTCAGAGCCACATTTGAACAAACTTGACTTTGCTTTTATCACAAGCCTTTGTCTGTCATAGCACATCTCTCTTTACACACACACACATACACATACACAGATTTTTAAACCCCCATGGACAAAATTTCTCACAGGTTTCAGTGCTGGGAAAAACCATACCTTTAAGCACCTGATTTGTTTTTATCTTGGACACTATGCTTTTTCTAATGGAATATTTCTCTCTTAGCAGGAACTTATAGATCAGACATCTATTATATTGACATTTGTGTTTAAATAAATTGAAATTTTAAGTATCCCAGGGGAAATAATATTTAAAATCTTTTTTATGATAAATTCCATAGGAATTAAAGCACCTTTGTATAAAATGAGTGGTAATAACCCCAAGTCATCTTACTTATAAACTAGATCTTGGTGTATTTGTTTTGCCATCTGAACGGTTAAGTATTCCTGGGTAGTTTTTCTCTTACCTTTTTTCATTGATGACAGCTTTCAGGGCATTTTCTAAATCTTTTGAACTCATTTCCAGGACATTCAAGGTCACTCCAGCTCCCCGGGTCTCCATGCGCTTTGCATTGTCCATCTGATCACCAAACAAGGGCATCATCACCATGGGAACGCCATTGCATATTCCTTCATAAATGCCATGGGAGCCGGAATGTGTGATAAAGGCCCGAGTCTTTGGGTGACCTGAGGAGAAAAGCAGGAGTGAGCCACCAGTCAAGCTACCGAGTTCACCATCTGACATCGCCTGGGTTCTCAAAGCACACTCAGGGCCCAGTGCCATCCACACGTGACTCTTGCAGAAATGTGCAGAAGCGAATATGGGTTGAGATAAAAGGTAATGTGGGATAGTTGACAATAATCCTTTCTGGCTAAACAATCCTTTAGAACAGCCCTGTCTGAACCACTTTTTTATTTAACCTTGGTTAGACCCTACATGCTAAATCCTCCCCACGTACCAAGCAGATCATTTTGGGGCAGCCACTTGACAAGTTTTACATTCTTTGCAAGATTCGGTGGTGGAGTCCCCGTGTACCGCCACAAGACCTTGCAGAAGCAAAAAAAAAAAAGGGTTTAAGAACATACATATACAACTTGTATGTACACATACAATTTTAAAACAAGATATCAGCTATAGTAGCTAGAAATTGGAGTCTCTGAATGAATATAACATTGGAAAAGGTGGGAGGTATAATGATTAAGAAGGCTTTTGGGGACAGGTAACATTCTGTGTCTCATTCCATAGGCTTGATTCCATGGGTGTGTTCACTTTGTGAATCTGTGAAAATTCAGCAAGTTGTGTAACTATGACTTGTGCACTTTTCTGCACTTTAAGGGAAATTACTTAACAGAATGAGTAGGCGTGGAACTACAAAAGCAGAAATATGAGAAATGAATTCAGTGTCCTAACCAACTGCTTTCTGGAGAAATATTCTTATGCAATATGAAGAAACACTATCCTGCTCATTTTATTTTAAAAAATAAATTCTCTTTAATATACTTTTAAGCCAGTTGAGTGAGAAAGAGACCTCCTCATGCAGTGGATCATGGTTTAACAGCGTAGTTGAGAGTGAAATGGCAAAAAAAAAAATACCCTTTGGCTTATTAATAATAATTGGGAAGTGGCAGGGAAATTCAAGTTTAAAACCCAACTCATAAATTAATTTAGTTATTGGAAGTCTTGGATTAGAACTCTTATGAAGATAGATTTTTAAAAAATCATATAGAATCTTCTTACTGTCTGAGGTATTTTGCCCAAAGCATCAGCAATTTCCATAGCTTTCTGCTCCGGAATCTCTGAGACCATTGAGCCCAAAGAGAAAACCACAATTCCATGTTCTCCAGAAGCATTTACATAGGCTTCAAATTCCTAGAAGCAGAAGAGAAATTTCCAGTTAATTTTTTCTCATATTCTTTGGTGACTGTATGCATTCAGCTCTGAATAAGCTATCTTCCTCTTTAGAAAGTGATTACAGGAGTGTGTATTTGTGTTGTGTGTGTGTGTGTGTGTGTGTGTGTGATAGAGACACAAAGTATTAATGTGTGTTGTGACATCCCTCCCTCCCCAAGTCCTTTCCATCCCAAAGGAGGAAGGCTTCCTGCTTACAGAGTTATCACCTGGGTTCTCCTCTGAAATGTAGATTCCAAGTCATGTGTCAAGTTTCTAAGAGAAAAGTGATCAGAGGTAAAGCCAGATCCTTTTCCCCAGGGCTTCACGCAGCTGGGAAAATTTGGAAGAAGGCAGGCTTTGGGGAGGAGGGCTGAAGGAGTGAGCCGAAGGCAATAGGAAGAAGGGAGGAAAGGGGAAGGAGCCTTCTGCAGAAAGGAGCGAGGTTTCAGCAGATTCCGTGAAAGGAAACATGGGAGGAGAGGAACACTGTCCAAAGAGAACTTCAGCAAACTTTCTGTGGGCTCAAAAACTCCGGCGCTGCCTCTCTAAGAAAATCTATGTAAAGACCGCATTACTTTTCAAGACTTTTAGAATATTCTTTTTATGCTGAAAGAATGAATGGAGTCAAAGCACAAAGCTACAGAGGGCATTAAGAATTAGACTCACGATTAAGGAAAAACCTCAAATAGCAAAAAATCCTTGCACAACTCTTGCTTCCCTGCAGCCTGCAGCAGAGCTTCCCTATGGCAGTCAATACACTTGAATGAGTAAAGCTCATATCCATGTCAACTCCGTGCTGAAATGTAACCAGTCAACCACGCATTTTCCCAACCTTTCCTAGAGAAGAGTTCCTAAGGTATTTAAGTCAACTTGCCTGCTTTAGCAGAAAGAATATACAGAAACATATGTGAATCTTTTTCTGCTGATTCCATATGTACTGTAAAAGGTAAACTGTTCCTCCCTAGGTATGAAAAACACAAAATAGGGGACAGAAACCCTTTCCAAGTGTGTCCCAGTGAGCTGAGCCCCTTCTGTGGGGTTCAGAGGTTAAGGGCATGTGAGTAAACCCTGACCACCAAAGCCTCTTGGTAGGAAGGCAAAACAGGTGCAATTTTCACCCATGCAGCATACGACCCTCACCTAGTGCCCACTTCCTGTTCCAGAAGTGGATTCCTTAATTCACTATGTCCCTCACGGTCATCCAAGGAAGCCTGCACGTGTAAGGCTGCTCCATTGTCTCAGGAAGCATCTAGCAAAGGTCACCTGCAGGCATACAGCCTTGCTACTTAAGGACAAAGATCAAGACAAGGCAACGAGACTTTCGGAAGAAACTTCAGGGCCAGATGACCCAAGGAATAAGGAATGGAGAGCAGAGAGAGGGTGGCATGCCGACCCTGTGTGGATTATAACAGCTTGTTCTCCTATGCATGTGAGACAGGATCATTCGAAAACTAGGGGCTGAATTCATTCTAAGTCCTTCCCTTTACTAACAGCATCCTATTGCCATTATGATGACTTTTAAAATCAAGGAGTAATTGGGGTGGGGGGGAGGTGTGCCATGCAGTTTGTGGGATCTTAGTTCCCTGACCAAGGACTGAACCCACCAAGTGAGTTTTGGTGTATTTGAGCTATCAACTATGATTGATTTGCCAGTTAACAATGAATCTTACTAGACTCCGAGTAATCTGTGGTTCCCTTGAATGAAGCAGGAAGATGGATATTAGAAAATGTCTGTGTGTGTAGGGTGAGAATCAGAGATCGCAGGGATCCTAGCTAGTAAGTACAGGTTCCAGGTTATGACCTGGCAAAGGCCTATCTCTTAAGGAATAAGGGATAGACTTATAGATCAATGTCAAATAAAAGCTTTGAAAATGGTAGGGATAGCATGAAGGGACAAAATAGATGATTATGTAGTTAATCCCACTAGGAGATTATAAGAAGAAAAATATAGGAGACCCCTGTAGGTTCATGATTACTTGAGAAAGCAAGTTTCCTTAACCACAAAACCAAGCAGGCTTGCTTAACAACAAAACCAGGCAGCAGAAGCATGGTGCGTGCCCCAAAACAGTAAAACAATGGTAGCATGAGACCCACACCCTGCCCAGTGAGTACAGTAAGTTAATGATCCCTAGGACTTCCTGTCTGCACACATAATCATGAACCTAGCTTGACCATATAGAGACAAGAAAACTCCCCTAGAGGAGGAGTGGATGAAGGAAGCATGACTCATGTCTACTCAAGAAAGACAAAGGTCTTCTCCCCCTCCCTGCTTTTCCTTTCATCATAAAACTGCAGCATACTAAGTTCTCAGGTGTGGCATTTCTCACCCACCCTCTTGTAAGCCTCAAGTGTGTGTGCTCAGTCACTTCAGTTGTGTCCAACTCTGTGCAACCCTGTGGTCTGTAGCCTGCCAGGCTCCTCTGTCCATGGGATTCTCCCGGCAAGAATACTGGAGTGGGTTGCCATGCCCTCCTCCAAGGGATCTTCCTGACCCTCCAAGGGATCGAACCTGCAGTGTCTCCTGTGTCTTCTGCATTGCAGGTAGTTTTTTTTTTTTTTTTTAATCACTGGAAAGTCCCATGTAAGCTTCATGAGAGAGTCATTTCCTAGGCAGGTTGATAAGAAGTCTAAGGGTCCGCAAGGAAAGAGGAGTCTGGAATTCTCAAGGAGGAAGAAAGGACAAACATTTTTTTTCCTCTACAGTCCTTAGGATTATATAACAATAATGTATCCTGCCTGAGGACAGTCTCTGGATGAAACCTTCTGGCTAATTCTGTTATCTTAAAATGTAAATTATGGGAATAGGTCTGGTAAGGTCTTTACAACCCCCAGACATTCTTTGGATTCATTGGAGAGTATATAACTCCACTGCAAAACCAGCAAGGGGGCACTCTTTCTGCACCCTTCTGATGTCTATGTCAGAAGCTTTCTCTATCTCCTTTATACTTTAATAAAACTTTATTACACAAAAGTACTGAGCAACCAAGCCTTGTCTCTAGCCCCGGATTGAATTCTTCTCCTCCAGAGGCCAAGAATTCTGGCATCTTTTCATGGTTCAGCAACAACCTTTCACTCACAAGCATACCACCCTAATAAATCATTTCTTATCTATCACTCTGCCTCTCACTGAATTCTTCTCTACACTGACACATAAAGAACTATGGTACCAGAACTCTTTGGAGTCCCCCTGAAATGACACCAAACTGCTTCAGCAAGATGAAACAGGAATAATGCAATCAGAAGAATAGCAGTATTAGTCACAGTGCTGAAACTAGAAGTTGGAGATGAATGGTGGGTGTATCTCAGGAAGAAAGGAAGGAAACCCCTAGATTCAGCCTTGCGCAATAATCTTAGCATGGTGTGATCTGTTCCCAAACTTCAGAGCCAATGCCAGAGTGCTCCAGGCTTCAAGAAACACACACACTACCTGTGCGTGCACACACGTGCAGTGGGAATCTACTTGGAGGAAACAGAGCAAGGCACAACTAGGGCAATTTTCCCTGAACTGTTGGTTATTAATGATCTAATTCACTCCCTGAGAGTCTCCAGCTGGCTTTATATGTCTCCAAAGAATGCCACAGCCATTAGTGAGACTGTGAACGGAGGGGTTTCTTAGGACTCTCTGTATTAAAACCAGAACATGTGTGAGCGCTAAGTCACTTCAGTTGTGTCTGACTCCTTGCAACCCCAAGGACTATAACCCTCCAGGCTGCCCTGTCCACGGGATTCTCCATGGAAGAACACTAGAGCGGGTTTCCACGCCCTCCTCCAAGGGATCTTCCAACCCAGGATCGAACCTATCTATATCTCTCACATCTCCTGTCTTGGTGGGTGGATTCTTTACCACTAGCGCCACTTGGGAAACCCTAAAACCAGAACAGTCTTGAACAAACCAGGATGCTGGCTACCCTGGCTCTGACCTAGGAGACTTCAGACAGGGCCCAGCATACCTGATTTTCAGAGACAGCTGCCAACCTTGATTCAGAACATGGCCATAAAGCCCAAATACTGGCCAGCCCCACTCCCAGGCCATCCCACTGTCTAGTCTGCCCTCACCAGTCTCAGGCCCTCTTTGAGGCCCCTGGCTCCCAGCAGCTGTCTTGGCCTTTCCTATCAGGCTTATCTGAAAGGTCAGGGAGGCAGTATCATCCTCCCTACCCCCACGCTGAATTCCCTCCATTTTCTAGACCTCTTCTCCTTCACGAAGCCCACTCTTAGGACTTTAACTTTGTCTAGAAAGGACCAAGTCTAATGTCCCTGCTGCACCCATAAAAGGAACACACAGAGCCATAAACACCGAAAGCTAAATAGTAGCACTTGACTGAAGTTTAAATGGCATGAAAGTTCATCTACAAATTACAGAATGACAAACTGCAGAGGTTATGTTATCAAGGCCAGTGTTGATTCTGGGCCAGTACAGGATTCAGTGATGGTGAGGTCCACCCCCTACTTGGCAAAACTTCCCCTAAACCTTGCCCTGTCTTCCATGCTGGCTCAGAGTAAAGAATCAGCTTGCCAATGCAGGAGATGCAGGTTCAACCCCTGGGTCGGGAAGATCCCTTGGAGAAGGAAATGGCAACCCACTCCAGTATTCTTGCCAGGGAAATCCCAAGGACAGAGGAGCCTGGTAGGCTACAGTCCATAAGGTCGCAAAGTCAGACACAACTTAGCGACTAAACAACAACAGCAACAACAGCAAAACCTTGCCCTGACTCCACACTCTCTGGAATGGCCAAAGTGTGAAGCAGCATGTTGACAGCAATAAACCTCGATCCCCGACCTTTTATCCCATTCCAGAACAAATGAGGCTCCCTCAAAGGGAAAACACATGCCTACATGCCCAGGAGGCTTTTTTTCCCCCTAAAATAAACCATTTATTGAAAAAAGAACCTTTTTCTTAAAGTTCATTAATCAGCCTTTTGCATAACAAACCTGTGGCTTGCCAACAAGAAAAGGTAAGACTGCACAGGTGATGAACA